TTGGAATTCCTTGTGGCGCTTATTGCGGTGTTCGTAGTTGGCCCATAAGGCGTTGTACACTCGGAGACCCTTCTCGGGCAGCTCGCTGACATCTTGAGCCTTTAGCGTCATGTCGTCTTCATCACCAAGAGTGGGGTCTTCATCATCGGTCACGGCCGTAATGGTCTCGGTGTGATCGCTAGAGACTTGTGATTGCTCGGCGAGCCTTGAGCGAGTGATTAACGCTGGCTTCTTCTTGAATTGAGTGATATCCGGTGGAATTGGGGCCTTTGAGATCAGCTCCGGTTTGTTCTTCTTCTCAGGGTCAAGATAGTCCCAGAGGTCTTCGTTCATAGCTGTAGTCTTCAGGGTCTTGAACCACGTGATCCAATCCTCGTCTGTGACTAGCTCGATGCTTGTGGCGGTCGCCATGCTTTCGGCGACTGCTCGTCGGGCGCTCGTGGACAGCCTGCTGCCTAAAGCGGTAATTGCTGGTAGATATGATTGCGTATGAGACTCTTAATTGTTGGATTTAGGCAGCATGCATAGCATCTTAGTCATTGAGAGCCCACATGTATGTGTATTGTGCATATTGTCATCTAGGCTGACCCCGCAGCAGTCAGGGGTATTATATGCGCAGTTGACCGCCTTCCTATTCGGGCTGTGCTCGGCATGGTCACTCAAGTGACCGAGGTCACCTGATCATGTGCATGACTGTGCGCACGATCTATTCTAACACATACACCGCCCCGTACATGAGTCAGCAACAGCCCCTATAAATCCCTCCCCTAAGTGCCCTAAGAGCCCTATAACAGCTGCACCTACAATGGACCTCCCACCTCAACAGCTTTACGATTCACTTGAAGATCTTAAGTTAGATCTTGCAATTTACGCAGCAATTGGTGGCTATACCTTTATTATTCGACGCTCACGTTTATTTTCGCAAGGCTCTGAGCGACCTTCTGTTACATTCGCTTGCAATCGCTGGCGTCAAGGCTGTCAATTTTCAATCCTAGCCAAAGAAGACTCTTACGAGCTGTGGCATCTTAAACATCGCACTGAAGCCCGATTTTCTCGCCACAACCACGGGCCTCGAGAGTCCCAGCAGCCCCAGCAGCCCCGAGAGCCCCAGCAGCTACAAGAGCCCGAGCCGCAGGAGCCCGAGCTGTCAATTGAGCCGCTAGAGAAGAAATTGCCTACCTGTAGCAAATGTCATAAGGAAGGCCACAGAAGGGGTGCAAACTGCTGTATTTTACGTGGTCAAGATAGCCCGTAAAAATTACTGTTATAGGGCTCTTAGGGTACTTAGGGGAGGGATTTATAGGGGCTGTTGCTGACTCATGTACGGGGCGGTGTATGTACGGGGCGGTGCAGGTAACGTAATCTATCACCTTCCCGGTCAGACCCCCTACTCGGTCAAAAAATTCTCCACCGACGCGACCCGCACCTCACAGCAAGACAAAGTGGACACAATGATGGCGACGCAAGACCAATCAGTTCCGCGCGAAGAACGGGTCCTGCTCGCCGTCAGGGCCTATCAACGAGGCCAATTCAAAAGTGCTCGCAAGGCTGCGATTGCATACGACGTCCCTCCATCGACAGTATCTGATCGACTCCGCGGTGTTCATCCCCGACGCGACGCGCAGTTGCAGAACCAGAAGCTAACGGCGACGGAAGAGACGGCCCTCGTACAATGGATCTTGTCGATGGACGAGCGAGGGATGCCGCCGACAGTGGCTTACACTCGCCGGATGGCCAATTTATTGCTTTCTGAGCGAGGCAAAGATCTTGTTGGCGAAAACTGGGTGCGGAGGTTCGTTGGCCGCCACGACGAAATCAAGGCAAAGTACTCTCGCCGATATGATTACCAACGTGCCAAATGCGAAGACCCGCAAAAGATCCAAGAATGGTACGATCGAGTCGCAGCGACGAAGCAGAAATGGGGGATTCTTGACGAGGATGTCTATAACTTTGATGAGACGGGCTTTCAAATGGGAGTCATTTCAACGGCGAGAGTCCTTACTAGGTCTGACCGGCGAGGTCGGCCTATGCTCACGCAGCCTGGAAATCGCGAATGGGTTACTGTGATCGAGTCTGTCAATTGCCAAGGTTGGGCTTTACCGGCGAAGGTTATCTTCCAGGGCAAGTTACACCAAGCAAGCTGGTATGAATCGGGCGTACCCGACGACTGGCATATCGCCGTTAGTGAGAAAGGCTGGACTTCCGACGACCTTGCCTTACATTGGTTAAAGGAAGTTTTTGATCCAAATACGCTGCGCCGTACGGTTGGTACACATCGACTTCTTATTCTCGATGGGCACGGCAGCCACGTTACGCCAGAATTTGACAAGTACTGTACAGCAAATTCCATCGTGGTACTCCAAATGCCAGCACATTCCTCACATCTCTTGCAGCCTCTTGATGTTGGGTGCTTTTCGCCGTTAAAAACGATATACGGCCGGAAGGTTCAAGAGAAAATGCTCGCTGGGATCCATCATATCGATAAACAGGAGTTCCTTCCTATATACTTAGAAGCTCGCCGACAAGCACTCTCGCCGTCAAATATCCGAAGCGGATTTATGGCGACAGGCCTCTTTCCATTGGATCCAAACAGGGTATTATCGCGGTTACAAGTTCAGGTTGACAAAGTGGGTAACGATCACGGTGATAAGAACACTCCAAGCCCCCACAAGAGGCTGGAATCTTACAAGACCCCGTATAACGTTAACCAGCTTAACACTCACGCCGAAAGGCTTCTTGAACGCCGGCCACAAATCCCAGACTCGCCAGTCTCACAAGCTATCAACCAGCTTATCAAAGGCTGTCAAATGGCCATGCATAGCGCCACCCTTCTTGCCGACGAAAACCGACAACTACGGTCAGGAAACCTACGGCAAAAGCAGAAAAAAGAACAACGCCGTGAATACATTAGCGACGGCGGAACTCTGTCGGTTGCAGAAGGTACGGCTAGGATAAAGCGACGGCGAGAAGAAGAAGAAGAGCGGGTTAAGCGACGTCGAGAAGAGCAAGAGGAGCGAGTCAAGCGACGGCGAGTGAAGGAAGAGGAGCGGGCCAAGCGACGGCAAGAAGAAGAGGAGCGGGCCGAGCGACGGCGACAAGAGGACGAAGAGTGTCTCAGGCTACGGCGAGAAAAGGAAGAGGAGCGAGTCAAACGACGGCGAGTGAAGGAAGATGAGCAGACCAAGCGACGGCGAGAAGAAGAGGAGCAGGTCAAACGACGGATAGAAGAGGAGCAGGAGCTAAGTGCCCCAAGACAGCGTGCGCCACCAAGGTGTAGTAAATGCAGGTCCTTTGAACACACTGCCCGTACATGTAATGGTTAGTCCTGAATTAATTTAACGGCCTCTTGGAATAAATTGTCGTCATTGTGCTCAGTTTGTGTTGCCGTGAGGTGCGTCTGACCGGGAAGGTGATAGATTACGTTATGGCTTCCCGACAAATCGGCCGTGCTTATTAAGCTTGTAGACATAAACCCACATGCAATCAAGGGTCTGTCTATCAAGGGTTCGAGGGTCATCTAGATCAACCTCAATCCATGACTTCATAATCTTATGACTCTGCAAGTGATCTCTTTCTGCTTGTTCAAATTGGGATCTCATCGGATGATGTCACAGCCCAAGTGTGACAGAACCTCATTGCTCAGACCCGACATTTTAGCGGTGGAAAGGGTCGATAGCCAACACCCAACTCAACAGCCTCTTTTAGAGGGAAGCACAGAAAAGCGTCGCACAGGCGTCTTGCTAGGTCGGCCCGAAGCCGTACCAGACTGCGCGTATGTGGTCTGACAGATCCGTGACTTAGACCTCTCTATAGAGAAGCATCTAATTAGATGCTTTATCGAGACTGCCGCAGGAAAAGATAGTGGCAAGGCATCGAAGATGACTGCGGCAGCCGGTCAATTGGCGATGTAGAGGACTGAGGTCGGACAAGGATCGTGAAGGCTGTCGTAAATGTCTCGTAAAAATCTCGTAAAATAGCAGCAAAAAGTCTTTATTAACTCAAACAATAAGGTCTTCAAGACTTCTGTCTCTCTGACTGAAAGGGAAAAAAATGTCAAGGAAAAAACGATGTCCTTCCTATCCTTGGTGTGCAGCTTCCTCCCCTATTTATCCCTGTCACGTCCCTACTAGCGACCAGCTAGCCCAAAAGTCCCTGACCGCCTGTCACAACATCCTGGTTTCTAGACAATAGAGAGTCCAAGACCATTGGTATCCGCATCAACTGCCGCCGCGACCAGCTCGCTTGAAGCGAACCAGAAATGGTTGTTGTACAGGTGCCAAAGACGCACCCGCTCTTCCCCAGCGCTCTTAATAGTCTGATGCGAATATATCGCGGAGGTCACATAAAGTGAGGTTGTCATGTAGATGTAGAAAGATGGATGACGAGCTAAGACTACAATTGAGGACGGGAGCATAAGGTCTCCTTTCTCACGTGATGTTACATATAATGCCAGTCTTAAGCACCAGGCCCAGGACTGGTTCTTCACGTATTATAGTCCAGACCATTAAGAGGACTATTAGTCCAAACTGCGGTCCAGACCAATAGTCCGTCGACTATTGGTCCAGTCTGCATGATACGTGAAGAACCAGTCTTAGGCCTGGTGCTTAAGACTGGCATTATATGTAACATCACGTGAGAAAGGAGACCTTATGCTCCCGTCCTCAATTGTAGTCTTAGCTCGTCATCCATCTTTCTACATCTACATGACAACCTCACTTTATGTGACCTCCGCGGTATATTCGCATCATATATTAATTATTAATATATTTAATTTTATAAAGACTTATTTTTATATTTTATTAAATATAATCTTTATTACTTATTATAATCCATTGTTGGATTGATACCTCGTGTGGCAGCATAATATGCATCTCATGCTATGTGGAATCAACTAGAAGCTGCTTGCTAAGCCAGTGGCAATAGGTGGCAACCTTCATCTTTGGTGGCGATAGTCCTATCCCTTTGAGTATAAAACAGGGCCTCTATGACCCTCAATTAATGAGGGAACAACCTTCTCAATACATCACTTAATCAATCACTTCTGCTATTGCATATAGCAAATTGCGTATCCAACATCCATTTAATTTTATACCTCATGCCTTAAACCTACCCTAGACCACTAGCGTGGACCCAACCGTTACAGAAGACGGAAAGGCCTGAAACCCCAAAAACAAACGCCATTCTTGTGGGGATGACGAGCAATCCCCGAAGATTAAAAAGAAACCCTAAGTCATGGGACTTCAGACAAGACCGAGTCTTTAGCTGCAGGGATCCTTCTGGCTGCCGGCGGTGATACGGGTCCGGGGCGGCTCGGGTATATGGTGGTGGTTGTTGACGCCGTAGGTGGGGGAACGGGGTGAGTAGCCGTAGGTGGCCTCGCCGTCGTCGTCTTTGACCTTTTTGGCGTCCATGTCGAGGCTGAAGCCGCTGGCGAGACGGCTCTGGCGGTGGATCGTTGTGGTGACGACTACGCCGCCGCCGCCGCTGGTGGTCGACACCTTGGCTATGTCCATGTCTCGGCCGTCGTCGGAGGATTGCGCGTTGACTGCGGCGACGAGGGAGACCTCGGAATCGGTGCCGTGGGACGAGGGCGGAGCCACGGGGATCGTGTTCATTTGGCGGGTTGAGGCGTGAGGATCGCGGCCCGCGCGGCTGCCGTTTTCGTTGTAGTGGTTGGTGCCGGTCTGACTGCCCGAGCCGGCGTTGTCCTTGGAGGTGACCCAATGGATGACGATGGCAGAAAAGAGAACTGCAGGAAGTAAGGGGTTGAATATGCTGGGGGGGGTGGGGGGGATTTGGGGTACCGACTGTCAGAGTTACAGCACATGAGGCAAACCCAGCCAGGCTCTCCATTGAGAGCCATCATGACGCTCAGGTTGCTGAGATTCCATTAGTATTTTTATCTTTTATTTAAATGCCAGCAGGGGCCCGGGGGGATTTGGCCCTTACACAATGCTGCTGAGAAGGGTGAAACAAGAACCGACAAAGGTACGGAACGCAACGTTCTTAAGACGTTTGTTAGCGGGGGTCTTAGACATATTCTTAAACGAATACAGATCTATAGGATGTTAGATTATAATTCCTTAGGAGTCTGGACATAGACGTATAAGACTGACTCTTGAGAGGGATGAGGAAAAGGATGGTGAGATAGATGTTGACGATGCTGTCGAATGAGATGAGGGGAACCATGGAGATCCTCTGCATGCCAATGATGCAAACTCCGTTCTCATCGATCCTAGCAATTCGACTACGAGCATATTGGTTAGTTGAGGTTTCAGGTGGGCCCTGACGGCGGATGGCTTACAAGATGAAGTTGAGGATGACGATGACAGTATAGAGGCTAAGCATGCCAAACGAGTTAAAACAGTAGAGCTTCGACTGAAGGCGGGTCTTTTGAGTGCTACGAATGATGTGCTAACAATGGTCAGCGTTACGTTGAAATGTGGTTGGGATTGTGTCTGTGACTTACAGCCTTCTCGACAAGAAAAACGTAAATGAACTGAGGGAAGAGTTAGGGGTTATAGTTGAGCTTAATATCTAACGTAATGACTTACAATCTGCAAGCATGTTAGTCTAAATTAGTCTAATGTCACACCTGTCCTCCGTAGGGGGATGAGCGACTGACCTTGGTGGAGGCGTAGCACAGGAGGCAGAGCAGAATGGCGCCGTGACATACAGCATAGCTCGAGTTGATGCCGAATATTTGCTGCAGAATGGCGGTGGCGATGACGAAAAGGATGGAGTCGATATAAATGGCGAAGACGACTGCGGGTTGTTTAGTGTCACGCAAGATGGTGGAGTCTCCAGGAGCAAACAGTGACTTACGCCAGACTACGGCTGGTAGATTGGTCCATACTTTGATGGCCGTGCATCTTGGTCTACAGGCTTGTAAGCAGTCATCTAGAGATTGCCTTGGTCCAACCCAGGACGTTAACACTTCGGGGGGCGGGCTTCTTACAGATGCAGATGGAGAGGACGGAGATGGAGACAATCGCAACGAGCAGGCCCATGACGTCGCCGGCAATGGGCACAGAGGCACCGCCCTTGTCAGAGCGGTCGACCATGTATGACCACAATGCAGATGGAGTTGGAGCCATGGTGGGCGGGTGGTTGGTGGTGGTGTCTTGATGAAGGCCTAACAGCCCGACGATGCCTTGGTGTTCGAGAAATCCGAGCAAAACCCGTCCTCCACAGGGGACAGGGGAGTCTGGCGGAGGGGCGATATTAATATTGAGCAGCCAGGCTGAAGTGGAGGGTGGGGGAATTCTCCGGGTGGGTTTGGATCGAGTTCAGTAGCTTGAGACTTCTGGCACAGAGGCACAGAGCGCGATCGAGACGAAAGGCACCAACGAACCAGCTGGAGAGGGGTGCGGGATGGAAGGAAGTCAAAGCGCAGCGGAAGAAGCTAAGGGCGTGTTTCAGTCTTTTGGGTCTGAGCGCTGTGTTGGGCTGTCTCTCTGTATCTGTAGGGAGAATGCGGCGTCTCAACGAAAGGCGGAGGACGCCAGGCGTAGCGAAAACGGGCACGATGGCGGCTTATTAGTACGGGCCCTAGAGGGAGGGTAAAGGATGGATATCGGCGTGAAGCTTTGGCCGTAGGAATCTCGGTGGTGGCTATGGAAGTAGTGGTGCTAGTTGGTGATAATTACATCCCGGGGTCGATGGTGAGGAAGAGCGACAGTGAAAAGAGGCGAAGGACGAGGAGAAGGGGAGGATCTCGGCTGGATGGGGGCCTGGCGGGATCGCAATCGGGTTAATATATCATCAAGAGGACAGGGTTGAGGTGGCGCCTTGGTGTTTTGAGGCGCCAGGCTTGCTTAGTTGTGATTTGCAATACCCAAGTGTGTACGGAGTACAGAGTATCCGTACTCCGTATTGCTTTTCCACTGCTTGGTTGGTTCCAGGTCCAAGTCCGCCGACAGGTGAGTTGAGTTCTAATTACCACGCTCGTGATCTAGTAGTCGTGGTTCGTATGGATACGGTGCGCCGTGGCGGCGATTGGAATGAGATGACGGCCGCCGTGACAACGCAGGTACGCCCGCTTTTGCGAGGGCGTCGTCGACGCCCATTGTCACCTGTAAATGGATACTTGCAGATCTACAGAGTACTCTGTAAAATGAACTGAGGGGTACTGACACAAAAACCGGGTGATTCCGACATGGCTCGTGAACGCCATCTTCCAACACAAAAACCGCAGCCCATTTATTCGCTCAAGCCACTCGTCTGCAGCCAATCTCGGCCCCGTGCCGTGCCGCATGGCCCATGCATGGGCTCAAGAGTTAGGCCGCTTCATGGCACATAATATACACATATACACACACATACACACACCCCTGCTGAAACCTGCGCTGGGGCCCCCGCGCCAATAATTGGTGGCTGACGGCGCAGCATCAATGTCTACCTAGGTACTGTGGCTCTCCTTTGTTTGGAAGCGGCTGCCGCTCTTGGAAGTTGGACCTTTGGCTACCTGCCTTCCCCAACTCTCAGGTATCTGGAACCTCCCGTCAGTCCCACCCTCTGCTGTCGTCTTCTATCCGTTCATCTGCATTCAAAGTTCCCAGTCGCCAAGAAGCGTGAAGAGCAGCCTGGAGGGTGGATGTACGGGATATCTCAAAGAATCCGGCCCGGCATCAGTCGGAGAATTGGATACGACCGTGGAGAAGGGCTGATGCACCTAGGGACAATTGGAGTTGGGAAGTCGGGATGGGTATACGCAGATCAAAATGACATAGAGGACACTTGCTGACGGCCTCGGCGACTACCTAGAACGCATGGCGCTGCGCAAAGTTCTAAAGCATCTACGCCGCACACGGATGATCCTCTAACCTCGCATATGGGTCACAGGCATCCGATCTCGCGGATCTCGAACCGGATCAGCAATGTCCTCGTCAAATAAATCACACACTTGCTGGAGATATCTCTGCTTGTGAAGATGCCAAGTTCGAGGCCTCGCACAATTGCCTCGAAAGACTGCCATGTCAGGCCACTCCAGGCGGAGAACGACTTGCCTCTGTCGACATCACCGAACCGGGCACCATGACGGTCGACGCTCTCTCTTTGGCGACAAGTCTGGTAGTAAGACACAGAGTTCCTCCAGATTCTCCTTCCCCAGCGCGCACATCACATCACACACCGCCAGACCAGTCGAGGTGACCGAGGCGCTACTCGAGGATAGCGAAGTGTCTGTAGGCACTCCGTACCGCAATAGCATCCCTGGAGCCCGCGTTGTATCCCTAGCAACAGAAATGTCAACAGAGCCGCATCAAGAGAAAACCATTGACACAACAAGCTGCGCATCCAGTGATGCAGGGCTCCAGGCCTCAGGGGACAGATTCGGATCGTCATTCCGAACCCGAGTGTCTCCTCTGCCTCTGGGCAGATGACCCGCCGCCGTTCTCGTCGCAAAGCCCAGCATGCATATGAACTGGTACAAGATAAGGGCAGCGACGCGCACTACGAAAGTTCAGGAAGTGATGAAGGCTTTGGCTACACGCCCTATTGAGGCTAGGGCCCAAGAGGATACGATTGTGGTTCATGGTGCAGAGGTAGATAGTAGTACCCATGAGGTATTTTATATATTATATAGTTTAATTTAATTTATATTAAAGACTATTTCTTTTTTAACTTTTTAAATAGATAATATCTTTTATAAAATTATATATTATATAATTTATATATTTATTAATAGTCTGCTAACTTACTATAGTAAGATATTAATAAATTGGATTTTCTATATTAGAAGGAATGAGATAAATCATTGCACTAAAAGACAACATTCAAGCTATATCTAGTGCTTTTCTAGCTATCTGATATAGTAAAAGAAAGTATTGTAATTTACCTCGCAATAGACTCTTATCGACGTAATGTTAAGGAACAACCCCGACCCGGGGAGTGGAGACAGGTAGGCGGTCCACATATATCAAGAGTCACTAAAATTCTGCCATTCTATTCTATTCTAGGGGAAGCTCTCCTCCCTTAGGGAGGTTTTGTTAGATTGGATCATGTACAGAGCATCGGATCAAGGGGTCACTGACCCCTTGCCGGGCACAGCCCGAATAGGAAGGCGGTCAGGGAAGCCTATAACCCCTGATCAACGCCGCGATAGCCTAGCTAAGAACACACACAATACATAGTGATCAACGGCTAAGTCATCGGAGTGCCACGCTAGTTTTCCGACAGGTTTTCCCTAAGGCAAGCCAGTTGGAGGGCCGTCATCGAGTCGCCATCCTTGGCGTTGACGTCTATGCGTTTTTTGGGCGATGGCCCTGTCAAGCTGATTTCTATCCTGTCCATCGCTGCCACTTACGACGATGAGATGAACGCAGTAGACCGCGGCGCCTTCATTGAAGATTCAAACTGCTACTCGGTCTAACAACAAACCATGGATTATAGTCTGAGCTCGATGGTAAGGGAATGAACGACTACGTTGATGGAGCCCTACTTAACCCTGATAGCGAGGCTTCATCCTTGAAATTGGACCAGAGTATCTTGCGACAATGATGCTACCGAGAGCGAAGACGCCGGACCTCCAGAAGTGGAAAACATTTATGAACTCGAACCATGAACTCTTAGTACGATACTGGGACGCCACGAGGAAGTCAATTGCTAACATAACCTTTAGCGAAGTCGCATAGTCGACGCCATTTACCAGACCTGCAAATCCAACAAAGTCCTCCGTAATTATCCTGTTGATCCCTTCGACAGAATCCATCCTAAAGTCATCCATCATAGCTGTTTGTCCATACAAAGTGCAAGTAGCTCATCTACAAATGTTAACTCGCCTTCCTCCTTTTCTGCCTCAATATTGAATGCGCTACCCGCGACGCCGGGATACAAGTTCACTGGCCAGGCAGTGGCATCCTCTACATCTATCGGCGCCACGGAAACGTCAGTTCTATCATTAATCATCTTGCTGTTTCTCATCGCGACAATGTTCGTATCACCTATGCTCTTCTGCGATGACTCAATTGTTAGCGTCCTCGCTTGCGCCTTGCGTGTGCCCCACGTGCGCTCACTGAGCGACTTACCTCCTGAACGTCGACCATGATTTCCTGCGAGACCATGATGCCGCCGTATAGTTGCTGGCGCTTGATGGGATGAGCTATCGGGTCATCGAACGTAACGGCGCGGCCAATCGACGGCGGCTTCTGGTCGCGATCAACACTACTCTCGCCTCCTGGGTCGCGGTTGCGGGACGAGCTATGGTTGGACGCCACAGTCCACAGCTGCTCCTGGCTCGTCGTGAGGATTTCCCGGGCGTTGTTGTCAGTACGACCACTGGTCGTAGATCTATCAAACTTCGCCAGCCTTCGCCGAGGGGATGCCTCGCGGCCTCCGCGGGATCTTGGGCCTCCCGACCCAAACAATGGCCCCGTAGGCGCGTGATGCAGAACAGACGACAGCTCGCGGTGTACAGAGCGCGAGAACGCGACATGGTGTGGCGAACCCTCGTACGCTAGCTGACGGATCTTGAAGAACTGGAGGGGGCTGAATTCGCACCTTGGGAAGCTGACGCTGGCGTGAATGGGAAGCACCAGCCGAAATGTGATGAGAGAGCATGCGAGCGACCCAGAGTTCTCTTCGAGCGGAGAACAAGGCACCTGGACGACCTTGGACATGAGCGTTGCATCCTCGAATGTGGCGTCGTCGAACCATCCCCTGAGTGCAACTATTGCGTCGCAGAGCTCGGATATAAATCGGGTTTCCTGGGCAGAGCGATTTTTCATGTTCAGCTTATGTATAAGGGTCGAAGTAGTCAAGCGCTGAAGGTGGCCGAGGAATCCAATCTGCCATCGCTCGAGATATTCCAACGGCAGCTTCGTAGCCGGGAGCAGGTTCCTAGCGTTCTTTTGAACCAGCACATCAAACCCATGGTGGTCCAACCGAGCACGGACGGCAAAGATACTGAGATAGACTCCAGGAGTGAGTATAGCGTTGTTCTCCGAATGAGTAGCCATATTGCGCAGTCTTCCTCCGAGGTCTGGGCTCTCGATCTTCATGCTCGAGCGGATGATGCCAACCACCTGGTGCGACTCGGCAAACCGGTACCCGGCAGTTTCGAGTTTTTCGACGTCGCGTCTGCTGTCGACATGGCGTACTAGAAACATGAGAGACCCCCGGCCGTTTTCCTGGTATCTTCGGTTGTCTCCTTTCTCGACCAGATCATCCGGTTCCAGTCTCTTCTTAGAGACGTTGGTATTCTGGAGAGATGGGTCGGGATTGCCGGTATCGTTGAGTTCCATCTGCGGTCGACGCACAGGTTTCGAAGTGCTGCCGGTTGCGAAGACCTCGTCCCACAGAATGCCAGCACCTAAGAGATTCTCTTTCATCTTGGACGCGAGCGCAACGGCTGCGAGACAAAAGAGTTCACGGAAAATGACTGTAATTTTCGATCGGCTGACCATCCTCCCCCATCAGCTTGATTCCAGTTCTGTTATTGCGCCTGGCATGCGAAAGATAGCCGATATGGTCGGCCATCCGGTCAATAATATTTGTGAGGCTCGACCAGTTTCGAGATGCTCGGAACATCCAATGAAAGAGCGGGTGGGCCGTGCCGAAGACATCGTTGTTTGACTGTTGTATTTCATTAATCTCGGAGCTTCAAGTACCAAAGGAGCTGCCTACGTACCTTCTGCAGGAATGTGTCTGTAACCCCCTCACTTGGTAGCAACCCTTCTTGGCTGACCAGTATTCTTCCTCGCTTATCGAACACAGCCGCGGCGAGAACGATCTGTTGTGCTTTGCTGGCATAGCCTCTTCTGATCCAAGCGGAGTAGATCCAACTAACGCCCATGACAATAAATGCTCCGACGGACTGACTAGTCTTAGATTTCTGAGCCTGACTTGATGGAGGATACTCACCAGGCAGATAACCACGATGATGGTGGTATCGCGGGACATCCCGTTTCTGGGGGAATACAGGTGCAACAACGTATACCTCGTCCCAGCGGCGGCACACCAGTGCATCCCGGACACAGCCCCCGCGAGCACCATGGCACATCCGACCCTCCTCCACCACGCGTTCGTCCAAGCAGCGTCGAAGACAAAGAATAGCGCTAGTGCCGTGGTGCTCGCAGCAACCGCGATCAGCGCCGCGACGACGACATAGACAGTTTGGTAGCTACAGCAGTAGTTGTTAATGGAAGCATTGCCGAGATAGTGCATACCACAGATGGCAACGCCGGATAGGGAGCCTGATAAACCGATACGCGACCAACGCATGCGATCGTTGCTGCTAACGACGAGGAAGGCAAGTAGCAGCAGGAGAATAGGCACGAATAACGAGAGGATGGTCAACCGGGTAGAGTAGGCGATTTGGAGCTCCTCTTCTCCGTCAAGAATATAGATTGCTCTGTTTCCGATGAAGTGCTATCGTGAGTGTCAGCGAGCTGGTTCGCGAGCTCAGAGGCGACAACCGGTCAACAACCATGGACCATATTGCAATCCCTCCCATAGAAATGGCGGCACCGGCTAGCAAGATTCTGTGTCGGAGTCAACCAGTTGCCCCAGCTATTGTCTGAATATTAGGGCCATACTGGTTATGAATGCCCTTGTGAGAAGTCCGTCGACTGATTAACTCTAGCGTCGAACCGGCCCCAATCAGACTGACAACGTAACTCAGGCTAACGAACCCGGCGTGGAACGAAAACGGGACGATCTGACCCGAGTACTGCTTGAGCAGGTCTTGAACGGTCGACATCTTGTGTTAGTAGGCGGAAGATTTTGAAGGAAGCTCCAGTTAGGTGGGCTCCTGACGGCTCGCGGTATTTCTACCTGATATAACTGCGTCGGGTCGCAACGCAACAGCCTCTGGGGGAGAATTTCAGCTGGGAGGCGCCAGTCCAGGCTCATTATAGAGGGGGGTGCTCACGGACCGTAAGGGATCGATCTTCAGTGGTTAGCGTCCGAGGAAAGTGTTGAGCTGAATGCCCCAACCCCTGCCGAACGACCGAACAGGCCCCAGTTCCTCATGCCTCAAGGACCCCTATTGGCTCATGTCAAGAGCACAGGCCATTGAAGCGTATCACCATAGGCCGAGCTCGAAAAATCTCGTCCCCTCGTTGCCCAGTCCCTCTGCTGGCGCCAGCTTCGCCTTTGTTCTCGTTCCATTCTGGCGTCAACTCAGAATGGATCCTTGAGCGCTCCGTAAACTGGTGCATCTTGAGGCGGAACGGTGGGGACTTGAAGTTGAGGCTCTCAGTGAGAGCACTGTAAGGGTCCTGCGAAGTCGCTAGTATACGGTTCACGGGTAAAGCTTGGCTTGGGACTCAGGGCCTCGTCCGACGAGGTCGAACTCGTAATTCCGCAATTGCTGCTCATACTTGGGGCTGCGAAGGAATTTTGGCACCGAATCCTGTTGTGCGTCAGCGCCGTCGGCCTCGCCGACGTTTGGGGGTTAGCGAAACTCACACTAGCCATCAGCTCGAAGACGGCGTTCTGGGCGTCCTCAAAGAGGGACGTTACTTCCTGGAGAGTGTCGATCATGGCCACGTCTTGGCCGACGGCCTTGGTCATCCGAGTGGCCAGGTTGTTGCGGAGCTGGTGGTCGATGTTGAGCTCACGAGGAGATACGGGGGCCAGGAAAGCGTTGTAAATTCCATACGCCTGCGCCATGCTCTCCTTGACCCCGTCCATCGAGGTGTTGTTGGGGTTCTTTTGAGCCGTGCGGGTGACGGCCTTGCAGTTGTGGACATACTCATCTACGTCTTGGTAGAAGGACAGGTTCTCCTCGCAGTGCGTGTCGCGCAGGTTCTCCCGGAAGAGAAGACGGAGCGCAGGATCGTTGAGGATCTTGTCGAGCCGCTGGGTGTTGGTGTCCCTGGTGATGCTATTTCGCTGAGAAGCCGCACCGCCCTCGCTCTCCGACGCTCGTCCCCTCGAGCCAGAACCGTTGATGAGATCCTTGCCCCGTTGGGAAATCTGATAGATGGCATACTTGGTGGGCTGGAACACGTTGCAGCCTGGGTTCTCGGACATGTAGGCTCGGTCTTGAGCGACGGGCTCCATCAGATCGTACTCGACAAAGAGGGTGGCGACCTCGACGGTTTCTCGCTTGTCAACAATCGTGGAGCAGTCCATCAGCCAGTCGGTGGTGGCCTTGCCAGTGAAGGTATCTCGATACGTCTTGCCGTTGACCTTGCGCTCGGCTGCCACCTTGACACCGGTCAGACCATCCTTGTAATCGTGCAACGAGTCCGAATCGGCTGCATTGACGGTCGGCTTGATGTTCCGGTGTTCGGCACCCACGAACCGACGGAAAATGACCTCAAGGGTGCCCTGGTCATGGAGAAGCGTATCGCTCTGGGAGTCCCTCTCCAGCAGGACGAGCTGGGTTGCCCCCAGGTTGACCAGCTCCGACACCTGCTTCTGCTGGATACCGCTCCTCGAGCAGAACCTGTCCAGCACGGTGATTCCCTTAGGCGTCAGCTGCCAGACCGATCCCTTCATGTTGTACAACTGCTGGTACTTGCCGTCGGCCGATTCAATGAAACGTGCCTCGACGAAGCGTTGGCAGATGGACCGGGCCATGTCCTTGGCCATGGAGAAGGTGGTGGTTGTGGTGGTGGTGACGATGCGAGAGGGGTCTTTGGGGTCTGGCATACGATTCGACTGGGAGAACTTGAGGGATCCGAGGTTGTTGATGGCATCCTCGGAGAGGAACGTGTACTCGACCTTGGTCAATCGGACGCGGTGGGCCGAGAGCGGCAGAAGACTGACGACGAGGGTGGAGAAGAGATCCTCGAAGTCCTATTGTACTACCAAAGTCAGCCAATGCTCTGGCGAGAAGGGGTTCGGGAGGCGGCGTTTCATAGGGGGGTTCCGCATGCCCCGCGCGGAACGCTGCACTATGGCGCACGCCATGCGAAGCGGCAGGTGGAAGTGGTAGAACCATGGCACATACCCTCGTGAACGGCCGGTCGTCATCCGTCATGCGCAGCAAGCGCGAGGATGTTTGGTGCATCTTGTTTGCCGTGACGGGAGACTTGGTGGGAGGTGGTTCGTTTGGGTCTATGGCCGTGTAAGGCTGGGACGGCGGGTGGTTCGCCGAAGCAGCTTGGGTAGCGACGGCGCTGTCCAGGTTGATACTGGACAACAGGGACTGGCTCGAGGCACTCCTGGGCCGGTGGTTCTTGTCCGGGCTGGAGGGCTCCGAGGCGGGCGTCCAGCTGGGGAGGAGGGAGAGTCTCGAGAGGGTACCGTTGGAGTGCCGGGCGCGGATCGCGGGCTCCGAGATGGTGGCGGTGGCGCTCTGGGTCCTGTCCAAGGCGGCCACGGGCTTGGGCGGGAGGAGCCGGGATGGCGGCAGCAGTGGTGATATGAGACCGTTCCGAGAGGGAGGAGTGGGAGTTGAGTGGAGGGCTGCTCGAGGGTATTAAAGGGAGGGGCAGTCTGGTGAACCGTGGGCCGAGGAGGATGCGACAGAGTGGCCATCTAACGGGAACGGAAAGGTCAGAGGGGGGATTTTGATGACGGCCACGGGAAGGTTCAGATAAGAAGATGGATGAGCGAGTGGAAGTAGGACGGACACAAGAGATAGGTAACGGTAGACAAGACCAAGACCAAGACTTAAGGTCACCTCAAGACGGACGGGGCCTGGAGATGGGCGCACTCACTAGGAGGAGGAGGAGGGGGGTTTCTTGGGTGTGAGAGGAGGGTGTGGGGATAGGAAACACCAGGCTGGTGGGTAGGCGCTGAGACGAGCGGGCTGGGCCAGCAGGGACCCCGGGCAGGTAGCAGGTACTTGGCTTGGTGGTGTAACAGGGGGGGCTAATGCTGCTAGGGGACCGCTGAAGCCGCTGGAAAGGGGCCTCTGGAGGGAGGGGAGGGGCACTTTTAGGGGTTGTTCGGTGAGCGAGTGGAGAGGGTGGACTGCCACCAGCCGTATCAGGTACTTCGTGCCGGGTACACTACACGAAGCCAACCTCAGGGACCCTGGCTGGCTTGGGCTGGTTCCCCAGGCGGTTGAGATCTCGGGGTCCTTGTGTGCTGTGACTCTGTGATCTACGCATTAGGCGCTGGGTCGCTCTAGCAAAATTCCCATTCGTTCTGTCACGTTTTTTGGGCAAAGAGGTAAGCTTGGTCTGTCATCGTTCAGGCCGCAAGACTTTATAACAATACGTTGACGAAATATGACAATTTTGATGATAAGAGTTCTCTTTGACCCTCCCTCTTGTCCAGGCGGTCCCCAATAGCCTGGCGGCCCTGGAGGTCCCTCAGTACCCGCTGCGACATCCACGTGAAAACCGATCATATCGATGCCTCATCAAGCCCGGTCCGCGGCAAAACATATATAGGAAGATCAGTAACGTGGAAATAACATCTCGAACGCAGCGATTGTCGACTGCAGTACTATGCGCTCTTCTAGGAGAGATCTATTTCTCTCTTCAAGCAGCGAAATATGCTCCATCGCCCTATATAGAATGGCCTCCTTTATTCTTGGTAAGAATCACTGTATCATGAGTTGGGTGCCAACTAACCTTATCCACTATTGTTTTAGGCGTTCCTTCTTGCGGATCCGTCGTTGCATTCTCCTCTCCTTCCTTTGCCATTGCAACTCTCATACTAGGGATACTATCCCGTAGTTCGGTAAATGCAGCATGTAACTGCGTGTAATGGCGCTTCTCGATTGTGCGCGTGGGCGGGGCTTCCGATGGTTTGTGGCGGCCGGAGTTGCGTGCCGGTGCGGGAGGAGACTCTGGCTTGATTACCATGCTGGAGGAGAGTGACAATGGTGTCAGTCTATCCAGGTCTCGGTATCTCGGAGGTCCCGAGGAAGTTGGCATCGGTGAAAAGGGAGGGGAGATATCTTGACGTTGAAAGGAGTGGCTGGGGCATTTGAGTCCATAGTAGTACGAGAACGCCCTGAACGCCTCAAACTCAGCTCGGGCTGCGCTGAAAACAATAGCGTTAAAAATGTCGCACGACGATTCGCACGATGATGTATCTGAATGTGTCTTTCTCGATATCACCCAACGAGAGATATGGCATGTCCACTATCCCAGAAGAGGTGGTACAAAGTGGTACCCCAGTTGCGCCACCACCTTTTGACTACCCCATCAATGGGTCCAGGCCAATCTATTGGGTCGCCTAATGCAACTCAAAAGGTAGTATGGCCTGATTTTGCGCATCACTGCCTATTACGGACAGCACGGTCAACGGGGTTTGGCTGACAGCCGACGCGCCCCGAATATTCATCCAAGATGCCCACTTCGCCAGTCGCCAGGCAAGTAGCATCTCCGATCCTACACGCTCATCATGCCGCCTTGCTCGTGGTCTTAGTCGACATTGTCGAAGATCAAGAGCCAGTCGCCGTTGTCGGGCCGCGCACTCCACCATGCTCGCCACGGCAGCATCGAGATCGTCCTTACTGTGAGCCTCGGCCTGGTTCTGGCCCAAGCGGGAAATTTGTCCTTTGGGAATCCGATTAACGCAGCCGGCAATGCTCCGTCTGAGGCGGTCCTCCAATCTGCCGTCGAGCCAGAAGACCGAGCTGAACGTAGCCTGGTGGCGCCGATCGAAATCGATGGCTAGTTGTGTCTTCCCGACGCCGCCGAGTCCGTGGAGTACGAAGATCTTCCTCGCCTGCCGGCAGTGCTCCTAATAGTGCAACCAGTCCGTGTGAAAGCCTCAAACTGCTCATTTAGTGCGTTTGATTTGGCCAAACTAAACTACCGGTCCGTTTGATTTGGCCAGACTAAACTACCAGTTTGCCTGAGATGCGCAAACTGCACTATTGGTCTGTCCGTTACGGTCAAACGAAACTATAGTGCAAACTGTGGTCTACACTATTAGTTTGAAAATAATAGCCCCACTTGCGGCCCTCCTCGTTCCTCCCAGGCTGTCTCCTGTGGGCTCCTGTCTTCAATAAAAACGGTACGGCATGGGAAAGGGGGAGTATATGTAAATAATTAAGAGATGAATAGCTTTCAAGCGGACTTAGATTTGACTTAATCTGCGCTTTGGGTTGTGATATAATATCACGGGACGGAACTTGGGGTCGACTTAGAATCGTTGTTGTGCCGTGAAGAGGCAAGAAGCTATGGGTGACGCGAAGCTACTATGTACAGTGGGTGACCCACATCACGTGGTCACGTGATATCCCAGTTCCTAGGACTGGGGCTGGTACCGTGACATATAATCTGTCACATTGGCGGAGGAGATGAGGCCAAGGTTTACCGTTTAACGTCATGCACTTTGTCGACCGCAAACAACCGGCAATATATCTCAGATCATAATGGAATTGATACCAGACGAGAGCTCTCAGAAAGTCAGTGACTGTAGTCTTAACCAGAAGGAGTGCGATTCTCACGGAGAGACCAGCGTGATTATTGGCATCTCAACTGCTTCGCTCAATGGGGTTTTGCGGCCAGTCTACCCTATAGGCGCCGGATAGAGGCTACCTGGCGCCCCGTCTATCTGAAATGGCAGGGCTGGTATCTCTTAACTCCACGACTTGGGATTCACCACTCAGACAACACATACTTCATTGTCTCTTAGGCTGTAAATGTTTTTCACGGGAAATCAGCCAGATAGTCCATTCCAAAGCATGTACATGCATGTAATTCTGGGGTCTTGCTAGGACGATGGTTTCCGTTGTGCGATACTTAGGATACAATAATTCAACGCAGTGCAGCAACTGTACCCGCTAACATATCTTAGCAACGTCTTGGAAATTTCGCCACGCGCGCTCGACGCGTCCGACGCGTCCGACGCGTTGGATTGCGTAGTTCTTGACTGGGTACTCGGGAGCGGGCTACAACCGTGGAAAGACGTTGCTTGACGCACGTTGAATCTTGGGCGCACTAATAGTGAGACTGTTAGTCTGCGACCCTCGCACTGGACTACTGGTCAGTCTGGCCGAGTTACACTGAACCATCAGTGTGGTCCGTGAGGCCTGCACTGGACCATCAGTGTAGTCCGAGAGATGTACACTAAACCAATAGTTCATGGACTATTAGTCTGCACTACAGTGTGCACTAATAGTCCTCTTAATGGTTCGCACTATTAGGAGCGCTGCTTAAGACATATCAAGCTTAGTGCAGTCGCGTCTCAACGCGGGTCGACAAGCAACAGAGGTGATGAATGATGTGTGAAGGCGAATTGCAAAATATTGGAGACGGTCCACCGCAGTCTTGCAATACTCCTTGTGCTGGATCTGAGGTGTCGCCCGAACGAGGAGTGCTTGCACTGCTTGACAGTTATCTAGGATCTGCGTGTACGACGCTGTGGCTGTGGCGTCTGGGTTCAATCGGTGAGAAATGATCTGTATGAGATGGTACATGGTTTCGAGGTAAGTGTATCCGCCTGCCAGGTTCCCCGAGGAAACGGGTATTGAACAGCTTGAGATATTCGTCATAGGCGACTGGCACAGTCAATTAACAATGCAATTCGGCCGGGGCAGACACCTCACCTATCAAAGGAAAGAGATGCTAGAGAATCATGCCAAACACAAGTCCACCAGATTTTTCGGCGAGCCATTTCCTTTGCCGTGTCCGGCGCACCGCTCTCACCACCATCTGGGGTGTGTGGCAGGTGTAGGCCGAGGGATTGGGCTAATCGACATGTCAGTCCCAGGAGAGCCCATGAAGCCTCAGCTTTCATGTCATTGAGAAGAGCGAAACTGGTGAGTAGTAGCGCTTGGACCGAATCAAAGGTCGGCCTTGATAGGTCAGGTGACGTTCAGTTAAGTGGGAGCTAGACTCTTACCGAAGGAGAAAGTTTCCGAGCCGGAGGAAGTGGAATGAAATCTGAATATACTTCTGGGAGTCCAGTGTACGAACATGATATGGCGACTCGTGGTACTGGGAGCCAACAGCCAGAACGGCAAACAAGATGGCGAGCCACGATGCCGACACTGGTCGGCCGCTCTTCATGGAGCTCCCCGCTTTGCGTGATCGGTCTTCCAGGTAGACCATGAGCTTAGACTCGAGATCATCCAGGTTCATGACGAAACCCCAGAATGGTTGAGGGATCTCTTTGTAAGTGTGAAACAGTCTGCTACGAATTAGACACCTCCTGAGAGGACAGAATCGAGGTAATGGGCTTGCTTGACAACTTCACGATCCGAAGGCAACGCATTGGAGATGTCCTGAGCCAGCTGGTCGAGGTGCCGCGATGACATAAGAGGAAACGGCGCTGAGGTGTCCAGCCCCAGGATCGACCCCATGTTTTGGTGGATGTCTGGCGTCACAGCGCCTCCTGGATTCTGGTGATCCGACCTGGACTGCTCGCGCAGCAACGCAGGAATACTGTTCTGGCCCAGATAACGTGACGTCTCCGTGGAATCTGGCTCATCTGTGCGGACTGATTGGCCAATAGTCAGGATTGACGACGAGACACAACAAATTTGCAGACTTGCCTGTCGTACGCGGCCAGTTTGGGCGACGCTGTTCCTGTTCGCCAATCTCATCTCGGCCATACGGAGACGAGTGACGTCGCTTCCTCCCTTGGGAGCCCCTCGAGGCGACGAAACCTTGCTTGCTGGCGAACGAGTAGTTCGGCTGATACGAGCACAGTGGTGCGTGATCTCGGTTGACGCAGTTCTCGCACGGCTGCTTATTGTCACACTTGACTTTGCGCTGGCGACACGGCCAGCATGCTGTGCCTGTCATGGTCAGGTGAGTAGGCGAATCAGAGGCAACGGTTAGGCCTCAAGTATGGCATCAGTGGAATAACCTACCATCTTGGACTTTGCGACGGGAGTGAATGATGCGTCTCGCCTCCTCAGGCGTCAGATCTTCAACCGAAGCCTGATCAGGCGAAGCATATGGCTCGGCCATTGCTAGTAGGCTTCAGTCAGAACATAAATTCTGCAGCTGCAAAGAAATAGCGGGGCATCGGGGAGCTTTGCCATCTGAAGACTGATATATTGGCCGCTCTGGGGTTTGTGACGGGATATGTCGGTCGTCATCTACCTCATCGGCCTCTGCGGAAGGATGGTTGTGCTCGACTATGGGACACAAGGACTTCATCCCTAACCTCGGATCCTCCAGGAGAGGCGACGGCGGCTCAAGAGAGTTGGGGATGGATCACGCCACCTTGTCTGGCTTGATTGGATGCATGCCGCTTTGGGGTCGTCACAGAGGAACCAGGCAAAATTTCGGGCAGGGCTTGGCTAGGAGCCCTGTAACGGTCCGTTCCTTGCTTGGAGGCCGCCACCAACACCAAACCCCGGCACCCACAGGCGATACAAGGCCATGACAACAGCGCATCGGAAAACGGCCACTCCTCGTAGTTCACAATGGCAGCCAACCCAGCCTCCTCTCCAGCCGAAGAGGCAAGGGTGCCAGTGCTCGCCCTGTTGTGTTTCCTGGTAGCGCGTGGTCGGTGTTTTGGAGGCGGTTTGAGCTGGCGCCGTGTACCCATCTGCCTGCGGGCAGGGAACGCAACTTTCCGTCGTTTGTGTGATGGCATATCTTCATCGCCGCCTTCAGCCTTTCCTTCTCCGATAGAACCTTTTTGGCCGGGGAAGAACGATGACTGCGCATGCTACCAAGTGCCGTGTGGTTTCGCAATTGCGTCTGCCCTTCCTCACCGTCAAAATCGGCGCCATTAGGCTGGCTCGCCCAAGGGTTGATATTCCGAGGCTCCCCGGCGCAGGTCTGACCGCTCTGAGACCGCTCTGAGACAAGGCGTACATGGTATGGGTATGCGCAAATCCCCTGTCGGCTGTCCCTACTCTCTCACTATAGCAGAAATCACCGAGCGACTGACCGCGAATTAGGGCAACCTTGGCGGCCTTGTGTCACAAGGCGAATCCAGGCCATGGCACTGCCCCCTTTGGCCAGGGCGGGGGCGGCTTCAAGGCTTCTCGGAACATCGTTGCGATTCCCCGACCGGCATCTCAAGGCACCCACATCCCATTGTTCCATACTCCTTTGAATCAACCAACCTCTCTTCGAATGTTACAGCGACTTGGACTGTACGTCTAGCGATGGACAACTGGTGGCGCCCAGATCCGCCAGGGACCATTAACCCAGCAAAGCTCACCTCATGTACACCAACTACCTCCGAAGCCCTGACCGCTCCTGAAGCCGCCCACCAAAGAGTCCCATCAGCAGCACCGACTCCGACGATACCTCGTTCAATTGCTCCCCCTCTTCCTCGAATATCTTCCGACTGGGATCCTGAACACGATATTGTGGTGCGTGGGAACTTGGGACATCAGGATATTCGGAAGGAGTTTGAGGACTCTCATGTCGCGAAGCGGCGCCTGGCTGCTACGAGAGCGAGGCACACTTCGCACCATGGCTATTTTCGGAGGCAGACTGACGGTAAGGCGAGCCTGCGTGTTCCCGTTGATCTGGGAGCACGTGCCGATGCCACGGTCTTGATAGATAGGGCTACGGCGTCGATATATGATGTTTACCTCCTACGGGCCGACATCTCGAAGAACGAGAACTTCTTCCGGAGGCATCAAGTACGTGAGAACGCATGCACATGTATAGACGATGTTAAATTACTAACGAGAAGCTCTACAATAGATAGTATTCAACCCAGAGGCCAAAACCTACACGCTCTTGACTCGGGAAGGTCGCGTTGGGCTTCAAGGCGTAGGCAGGCAGGAAATGGAGGAAACCGATCTAAAGCCCGTCATTGCTAGGTTCCGCAAGATATTCCGCAACAACACGGGCCTGGCATGGAACCGAAGATACGAATCCCCTTTCATCCCGAGCTGGCACTTTATGTTCGTCGAGCTGGACTACCGCGGGACCGTCGCATGCCCCAAGGAAGTCCCAAATTACGCAATGATCGACGCCAGGATTACGGAGGAGGTGAGGGATTTGATGGAGCTTATGCTCTATGGCGGTTCTATGCGGAAACATAATGGCGGCGAGAGCCCAAGCACGTCGAGACCCTGGCCGCCATTTAGCGCTCCGTACGAGCAGCTCAGTCCTTGGTCCATCTTCTTGGCATTCAAGATTCTGGAGCGTATCTGGAAATACCTCGAGTCCGTGCGCCCCATCCACTGGAAGGCCATCCTCAGAGCGTCGTCGTTGTATCGCAGCCGGATCCCCTTCTGCGCAGGGCACGACCGCCCCCCAGTGATATCAAGCTATCATGCCATCTTCCTCGAACTCAAATTCCTCCACTCGCTCCATCCGCGGCAGGAAATAGCCAACATGCTAGCCGACGTCCACCGCCGAGGTTCCCTCCAGCTCAATGCACATAAGGCCCTCGCCCAGCCGCTGTACCAGGCCTACAGCTCTCTGCGGCATGGCTTCCGCCGCCTGACGGATGCTTCGACGCTCGAGTTCCGGGAACTAAAATATTACCTAGAAAATTCCTGTCATCGCACGCATTGTCGGATCCTGGAGCTCCAGGACATCTACCGAGTCTTCGTTAAGGCTAACCTGCCAAATCCGTACTGCGACTGGATCAAGGCAAAGCAAGGCCACGATGCCTGTGGCGAGGAGAGACTCCTACTGTGGCACGGCACGCCACTCGACTCTCTGCTGGGTATCCTCGACCTGGGGCTACAGATCCGCAGGCGAGGGGCTAGCTTCACGGGGGCCATGTTCGGCAACGGCATCTACCTCGCCGACGTGTCAAGCAAGTCGGCGGGCTATTGCAAGCATGAATTGTGGGGCGGCGAGGCGGTGATACTCCTGTGCGAGGCCGACATTGGGGCGCGGCGGATCCGGAGCCTGACGAGCATCAGCGATGGACACGAAGCCATCGAGAAATCGGGCGGGCAGCAGAGGTGTATTGAAGGGGTAGGGAGGGTTCGGCCTTCGAAGTGGAAGAAAGTTGGGTGGGAGATGGGAGGACTGCCCTGCACGGGCGAGGAGATGGTTTTGATGGTTTGTAGATTGAAATTCTTTCTCCTCCTTCTCTTCCTTCCATTTTATTGCATGTGGTTATTTGAGAGGATTTCGAGACTAACCCGTGCGTGACTTTATAGCCCGATACGACGGTTCCATACAGTGACACATTTTCAGGGGGGAGCTTGGCGTTCCATGAATATGTTGTTTATAATCCTTCGCATGTGCTTATACGGTATCTGTTTCGGGTGAAAGTTAAAGAATAGATAATTGCGTGTTGGATGGGAAAGGGAAGAGAAGCAGCCAAACTCACGAAGTGGGGGTTCAGGGCCGCCACTTCGGGCCTCCCTCGAGACGAGGCGGGCATACCCGGAAGCTACCTAGAATGACCGTTCTCGAACCTTCCACAGCCCAAGGAATCTGTATGATTGGCTACTCTCCGACGAGACAACTGGGGCTGTTCGATCGTTCTCTGAACATCGAATAGCAACTGTCCTACCACGACAGCTGGTTGACATACCCTGCGCAGGACCAGTTGAGGTCCATTAAGCCACAGCAGGCGAGTGCCTCCAGGGAGATGGAGAAGATGATTCAGGGGTTACAGGGTCTGGCCGATAAGAACACGACCAGCCATAGTGCAGCCGTGCAGAGCGTGCTGAGCGGGTTTGGGGAGCAAGACATCCATGTCACGGCCTTAGACTTTGAGAAGATGACGCTAGATGGCAGACCGACAGCATGCATCCGGTTCGGACCGTCGACATCCTTCCTCGAGGCGGGCCGGCGGCTTGAAGAATGATCATAGAGCCAGTGAAGATAAAGCAGGCAACAATATGGTAGATTAAACCCTAATTTGAAAGAAGCACGGCCAAGTGTGCTTTAATGCCCATCAGCTAGGTAGTTTTTGTTGTTTTCTGTGGACGGCCCATGCCAAGACTTATCGACTTCATTGACGCGAGACGATGCTTAGCCTCTTTGATGAGGCCACAGTTCTTCGGATTTTGAGGTTGACCAAGTTCCAGGAGGATCGCCTCTAGAGATCTCCTATGTGTATCCCACTCCTCAGCAAGGGACTGCTCCGTTCCGCTCTTACAGAAAACGTTTTCTGCAGCGATCTGCGCCGAGGCCGTCTAGCAGCTCGAGGAGCTGATTACAGTCCGAGCCTGGCATAAGTTAAGATTCCATCACGTTACCGTTGGCGTGCAAGGCTACCAAGACTTACGGAGCTCGCTGCCATACCATCTCTCGAAAATAGCCCTGCTGAGGCTTAGATCAACCTTGGCCAAGCGCCTGGACTCGCCTAGCTGCGCAAGGCGCGAAAGCCGCGTCGTGACCAGTATTGCCCCGTGGTCGCCAGGCAGGTAGCGTCTCAGATCGTATGCGCCTGTCACGCCGCCTTGCTCGTGGTCTTGGTCGACATTGTCGAAGATCAACAGCCAGTCGCGGTTGTCGGGCCGCGCAAGCCACTCCATCACGCTCGCGACGGCGGCATCGAGATCGCCCTTGCTGTGAGCCTCGGCCTGGTTCCGGCTCATGCTAGGAATTTGTCTTTCCGGGATCCGGTTGATGCAGCCGGCAATGCTCCCTCAGAGGCGGTCCTCCGACCTGCCGTCGAGCCAGAAGACCGAGCTGAACGTAGCCTGGTGACGCCGAGCGAAATCGATGGCTAGCTGTGTCTTCCCGATGCCACCGAGTCCGTGCAGCACGAAGACCTTCCTCGTCTGTCGGGAATGCGATCGGCGGGGAAGGAGGTATTTCTCCAGATCGGCGGTGTCGGACGGCCTGTCGACGAAGTGGCTCGACACAAGTACACCCTCGAGGCTAAAGGGTGTCTTGTAGGAGCCGAAGTCTTTCGACGATGGATTAGCGACACTACGATGGAAGGTGGGAACGCAATATATGAATTGTTGGGCGATCAGGCTGACTAACATTGCTTCCTCGCAAGGCCGTTCGCGCATGCCTTCATCTGTCTAACCACGTCCTGCAAAGTGACATGCCGGCCGGTTGCCGCCGCAATCTCGCGCTGCTTCTTCGACTCTTCCAGGCCGACATCCTCGAGACCGCGGGCGACGTTGAAGCGGTAGTAGCGGCCTTCGTCGTCGAGGCTGGATTTGTCGCGACGAAACTGCTCCGCCGTCGTCTCTGTTTCTGTTGCGAGCTTCTTCAAGGTGGCCCCGATGCCTAGGACATCATCACGCACGGGCTCAAGGCGGGTACGCCCGTCCCGATCGACACCAGGCACCGAAGACTGCCCCGCAGCTGGTCGGCCCAGACATCCTGAGCCTGGTTCTAAAGCGCGTATACGGGGTTATTCGCTCCCAGGGCACCGTCGACGAACTGCTCTTGAAAGGGCCCGATAGCGATTGGATCGAAGAAGGTAGTCGCGGCAGACGTAGCCCGACAGGCTCGCCATATCTTGGTGGAGTCATATAGGTGGGCCAGTCTGCGGGGACGGTAGCTCGTTAGGCACACCGTGTCTCCGGTTTCTTTGCTCGTCGCGCACACGAAGCTTGTCGGTTAGCCGTGCCGCAAGGAAATGAGGGAGTCAGAAACTCACACTTTGCAAGCTGTTTTGGAGGGATCTTTAAGAAGCGCGTCTTCGCCGTGGCCGTTGTCCACCAGTATCTGCTTGACTGCCTGCTCCAGCGCCACAGTATCAAATCTGCCCTGTAACTGGCCGTTGATCTTGACCCTGTGGCTCTTCTTCTCGAACACCTTGTCGGACAAGGACGTGTAGGCAGTGGATGCATTCGTCAACCGTCATCCTAGGCGCCCCAGCATGATGGCGATCAGGCCGCCGGTGCTGGTGCCGCCGATCATGTCGAAGTAATCGCATGGCTTGGGCGGGGAGTCGGGGTCGATGGTAGACATGAGATTCTGTAGAATCATCAGCGAGGACAGGCCGCGAACTCCGCCGCCGTCGAGGGCAAGTAGGCGAATGTCATTGTCGGGCATGGTGCTGCGGAGAGCCGTCCTGGTAGCGGTTAGCAAGAGGGATGCAACGCTGTGGAGGGCCCATCACGGACGGTTGCCACATGGAACTCGTCCCGGCCGGCGCGGGGTGATTTGACCCATCCAACATAACATCACTAATCCCACTCTGGCTCGTCGTACTGATCGCGGACGTGCTCGACCCGTCAACAACGTTTTCGTTCGTGTTAAAAGACATCTGATGCTCGAATCGAGTCAACCAGTCAAAATTATCGTCGAGGGTTTGGCTCGAGGGCATCTCATTAAGGGATTGCGCAAACGGCGGGGTCTGTTCCAAGGCCATCGACTGTGGCGAATCATTGTAATGAAGGGCGTTGGGGTTGATGGTAGAGCCCGGCCCAAAGAGAAGACCCTCAAAATCGAATTCCGTGTTAAAAGCAGCCATCGGCGGCGCGGTCCGAAGACCGCTGGTGAAGTCCATGTTGCCGAGGGTGCCCGTCTCCAGCTTGGGCAGGCCCGGCTGAACCCCTCGCTGGCCCATGGCGGCCGACATGCCACCAAAAATGTGGTCGAAGTTGTGAATGGGCAAGCCGGCGAGACTTGGGTGCCGGCTATGGCTATGGGTCGGCGGCATGCCCCGTGCAACGGAGGCATTGGCCATCATTTGCATCGCGGTGCCGTCAACGTGGCTGATGGTGTTGGCACGGGGCCGCACAGAGTTGGCCGCAGCATTGTTGGCGGCTGGGGGGCCAGCGACGCTGTTCTTGCGAGCACGGCTTCCGCCAGGAGCGACGCCGGTTGTCGACTCGCGGCGGTTGCGGGGACGGGAGGACGGTGTCGAGGTCTGGTGCAGCTTCTGCTGGTGACGAAGCAGCAGGTCGCGGCGGGCGAAGCATCGTGCGCACTTGGGGCACTCAAAGGGTTTCTCCTTGGTGTGGGAGCGCTCGTGGCGCTTGAGATGTTCCAATCGGGCAAAGGAACGCTGGCAGGTGCCACAGACGTGCGGTCGAGGCTTGTCCGTCTTGGGGGGAGCAAAATTGGCGAGAGCCTTCGTGTTTATGGTGATGGTGGACGCTGCCAGAGTCAGCATGCAGAGTCGGGGCAGAATCGGGGGGCGGTGCGAATCGGGGGGCGGTGCGGGTCGGGCTGAGGAACATGAGGGGCAGTGCCGGCCACGGCGGGAAGGCTCACCAGAGTCGTCGGCGGTGGAGGGCGCGCTGCCGACGGCTGCGTTGGACGTGGCGGGATTGGACATATTGATGGAGGAGCGGGAGACTCTGACACCAGAATCGTTAATCACCATGACAGGTTTTGCAGAGCTCGCGGGAGGGAGGAAGACGTTGGGGCGGGCGAGTCGTCGTCGTGGGGCGGGAGATTGAGTGACGAGGGAGCGAGGATGGCAAGGAGGACGCGGGCGCGGGTGTTGGGTGCCGTGCGTAGTGGGGGAGGGGGACGGAGAGAGAGAGACAGAGAGAAAGCGAGCGGGAAAGTGAGGATCAGGATGAGAGGGAAGAGGCGTGTCCCATGGCCGACAAGAGCATGCTCTTCAGTGCGCACACAGCAGCAGAGTGAAGTGAAGCAATCAAGTCGTCGTCGAGAACACGCCAGCGAAGCAGCAAGAGTTGCTTGGGGAGGCAGAGGAAGAAGAAAGGTTGGCGCCGAAAGAGACGATGGCGAAAAGGCAGGGATACAGTGCGGGACAGTGCGCCGCCGCTGGAGCTCCAGTCCCTTCCCTGTCCTGCTGTTGCCCAGGGAATCCCCGAGTCTGTGCTCCGGGCTTATGCAAGCGACCACGGGGAAGACGGCAAGGATGACCTTGACGAGGACCTCGAGATCCTACGTGGATACTCGTTAGTGGCCGTGACGGCCAATAGAGATTTATTCGAGATGCATGCCTTAGTGTAGTTTTGCACGCGGGTGTGGTTGTCGTTTGACGATACGCAGCTATGGAAGCGGAAGTTTCTACGGGTGATGTCGGGTCAGTATCCATCGGGAAAGTATGAGAACTGGGTGGAGTGTGAGAGATTGGATCCTCACATTGAAGGGACTATTAAAGAAAAGCTAGGTGATAAGGAAGACGGTCCAAAGTGGGCGGAGCTACTTTGTAATCTAGGATGGTATCGGTGGATGAGAGGGAGGTATGAGGCGGCCGAAGATAAGAAAGATGCTCAGTTGTGGGTCGGGCTACTTTCTAATGCAGGATGGTATCGGTGGATGAGAGGGAGGTATGATGAAGCGGAGGAGATATTAAGATGCGGTGGATATGAGGGAGAAAATGCTTTCAAAGGCAGAGAAAGGAAAGTGCAGGCCGCGTCCGTGGGCTCCTCCATTTGAGCTCGAGCTCGGCATATTGGCTGTTTGTATGTCCTGGGGTCAATGAAGAGACTAGGTCCCTGTGATGTCTAGGAAAGGTAAAAGAGGGTAGGCTGTCGGCCTGGGTGGGCTGTCGGCCTGGATAGGTTGTCAACCTAGGTTGCCCTGATGGGCTGTTTGAGTCCGGATGGACAGATGTCATTGAAGAAACCTGTGGTCTTGGCGAAGCTGGCGAAGTCTTTGGGACTAGCTACCAGACATTGCCAGTATTCCTCAGTGACTACGCGACGGAACAAGGTTCGCAAGGCCCTCACCGAGGACCGGGACAGGGTCGTACGATTCGATAATTACCAAAAGGGCAATTAGAAACTAGGGGAGCTTTCGCGCCCGCGACCACACCTTTCTTCCCCTTTTGGTTTTTTTGCATCCTTTCGTCCTTGTTGCTGGGGTTCTTCCGCTTTGGAGGGGTCCTGTGTCTCATCTGTCTCAAACATGGTGAACACCACGGCACGGTTCTGGTTCCGCTTTTTCGGTGAAGGGGAGACGGTTTGTCTCTGTCCCATGTGATCCCCCCCAAGACGGTCTCGTTTCGCTCAGAAATGATAGCTCGCCCCTGCAGGGCGTGGACTTTGCCTGTGACGGTAGTGTTGTCCCACTCTCCTTGACCCCATGCTCCCGCAATCTGCGCTACTTCATGTACAATGAGGCTGGGAGGTGTCATCAGCGATTTTTTTTGGATTTTGTTACTTCTGTGACCTCCCGGGAGGGGGACAGCGTGAGCTCCCGGAAGCGGTTGGTTGGAGGGTTCTGTTACATGAGAAAAAGCAAAGTCGGCTTTCCTAGCCTAAAGAGGCGACCAGCAGACAAGCACAGACACAGCTGGGCTATGGCAGGGATGGGAATGGGATGGGGATGGGATAGGGCCAAAAATGGGTTGGTCATAGGGAAGGACAAGGAGGATTAAGGCGTCTCGTGCCCTGGCTGGCATCGCAGGGCAATGGCATAAGCGACTTGGTGTGGGCGACGCCGTGCCAATGGCAACTCTGCCCACTGTGAAACAAAAAGAACTATTGCTCCGTTTGGAAATAAGGGTCGGCTCCCTGGGCAAGGCGCCATGGCCTGTATCCAGAACGGTGTTGTTTTGTTGCGACCTCGGCCTGGCTTTGGTGTACAGTAGCAGCAGTCGCAGTCACCGTCGCAGTCGCCGTTACCATCGTCGTCGTGTTGTTAGTGTTAAGTTGGTGTTGGTGGTATAAGGGCGCTGCAACTTGGGTAGTGGTTGGGGGCGGAGGTGGTGTTGCGGTTCTGCGGCTGCTGATGGATGGGGAACCACATGCGATGTTGACCCCTCCAACAGCGGCCACTGAAACCAACAAAAGGGCAAGAAAGACTAGAAGGGGTGCGCGGAGAGGAACTAGGTGAGGAGTCGACATTGGCGATCATCTCGCAATTTAGACAAATGGGCGCTGGCGGCTGGGTGGTGCGACGATAGGCGGCAGCAAAGGACTAACAACAGGGACTAATAGCAGCACAGTGAGCAGCCAGCAGCCAGCAGTAGGGGAAGGGAGGCGGGGAGCGGAAGCCCCTATCACTGTTCCCTGCGGAGGCAAAGCATATCGGTCAGCCCTGTAGTGTCTTGCACTTACCCCGCGCTGCTCAATGTCATTCGACCGCTAACCCAAACAGTTCAAGTCTGAAGATTGACAAAATGGGTCAGGAACTGACCTGCGGGGCAGTTTGTCGTCTGATGGTTATCTATCTTTGTCACAGGGACAGTTGTTTCGAGGCCTGGCCAAGCTTGAGGCTGAGGGTTTTCTGGCCAGGCTTGGCTCAGAAACCGTTGGACCATGCCGTCATGTATCGGACCTGCTTGCTTGACCTGCCGACCGTCTTGGGGCGAACTGAGTTCATTGGGAAGCCATCCCGTATTGGAGATTGGCACCCCCTGCTCTCATTCAAGATATCACTGTTGCAATTCAAAGTTTATTGTCGATGACCCATGTCAAAGGCTGTGAAGATGTCGCATTGAATCGGCCAACTAGGCAATATCGCCGACTCTGCTGCTAGACAACTAGTTAGACGCATCGGATCATGGCATGATCGATGAACTAGTAACACTCCCTCCAAGAGCCGTCTGTGTGGTGGCTAGGCTGCCGGTCGCCCTTTTCGTCGTTGAATGTCCAGCCTTGGCTTGTACAACCGGACCGTGGTGGAAACTATCGGTAGCGTCAGGCTCTCGGACGATCTAAGGCTCAGGCTAGGCCTTTGGAGGCCTGGCGCCTTTGCACCAAGGAGGTTGCTTGGGCAAGGCGATCTATCAATGGTAGCATCGTTAGGATGCCCATGTGCAGCTGTCCAGGGCCATGTTAAGCGCTTTGTTGCAGGGTTCAAAACCTGCTCCCACGTGCAGTGTCATCCCGTTGCATGTTTAGGGCAGGGGCTTGGGCTGATCTTTCGGCACTCGCCGTCACGAAGTGAGGTAGTTAGCACTTCCAGCACGAGCCCTATGATCTGGCATCAATTCTAAACAGGGAGTCCAAGAGACGAAATCGACGTTATTCTGCGGACCGGCGTAGGGCTGAGGATAAGTGTGGGGGTATGCACTAACGTTTGTTTCACCGGCTGTGCTTGTTTGTTCAGTGTCAAGACTCAAGAACCAGTGCGGCAATCTACCCAAGGCATGCGAGTGCCGAATGACGCAAAGCCAAGAAACGATTCATCAAGATGATGGGCGCGGCATTGGTCCGGAATGTGATGAGGAGAGGCCTTGCATCGAGGTATCATCCTTGTTGCAGGCGGCCAAAGCTCGAGACGCCAAAAACCAAGGCGTGAACTATAGTTACTTGAATCTGATATAGGAAAACTGGAGCTGGATATGATGGGCCGGGTGATGTAACGCTTCTCGTCTGCTACGTGAGGGGGGGGGGGAATCTGAAATGCTCCCAAGCTAGATGACAAGATCACACCTCGATGCGCCCTGACGCCTGAGGCTGGAGACCCCAGAGGCACACGGAATTTGTCCCGCCGTGAAGCTTGGTTGTTGCTCGGTCCTCTGTGAAGCCCACTTTGAGAGGGTTCACAACGAAGTAGCGCCGTTGGAGCTTGATATCTAATCGTGAATGGCTCGAAAAGCCGTTGGTGCGTACGGTTCAGTTTCATAAAAGAAACATCATGCTTCTACTGTACCAATCAAACGAAGCACCTCTGGTGGTGCATGCTAACTGAACTGAGACCAAAAAATAAAAAATATCGCTGCGTTGAGAAGGTCAATGCTGCGGATGAAAGTGATCCCGTTGCTGACCATGGCAAGGAGGTGACAATCGGCCGGGACGGACCAGGGTGTGGGTGGGCGTGGGTGGATGTGGATGGGGACACTCGCTGTGCCTCAGCTCAGTGGCTCAGGTTTCCGCGCTGTGCCTGAGCCGAGCCCCCCTTCCATCTGAGCAAGGACGACAAGAGTGGATGGGATGGGTGACACGGCATGGCAATGAGTGTGGGCCGGAATGAGCCCTCCAGATTGAACCCCGTTGGGTGGAGGGATGATTTGTTGACCGATGGTCCCGGGGGTGTGTTTTCCTGGTTGAAATGGACACAAATAATGGGTAATGGGCAACGGGCAACGGGCACTGAGCGGGCACCCGCCAGCTAGCAGATACTGGACTGTAGGCCAGCGGCGGAACTCTGTCGCCAGAAGCAATGGAAGTCTCACGCCCGACACAACCTCGACACGCGGCATCGAGAGGGTGAGCGACACGAGGATACGGAGGCAATGCACTTGGAGGATTCACTCCATGGCCAGGCGCATGGCCAGGCGCTGGGAGGATGAAAGACGAGGAGCTTAGGTACCTAAGGTAGCTAAGGTCCCCGAAGGTGAGGTCCGGTATCTGTACCGAGCACGCACATGGTAGAGGAAAGGCTAAGGATAGTGGGGTCAGAGATGCAGCCAGGTAAGTAAGTGGAAGCCATCCCAGGCGGGAAAGGTACGGAGAGGTACATGGGGTGGCAGGTTGTACTGTGCCTTCTGTGCATCGTGCATCGTAAATTTTACATCGTACATCGTACCTACCTCCATCGTACGTCGTCCCGCAGCCTCAACGAACCGCTCCGCGAAGGGTCCTGCAGCCCTTCACTTTACGTCGCTCAGGTCGATGTCGGGCTGTGAGTCCTGACGCGGTCCCAAGCCCACGCACACCACCCAGAGCCACACCACCACAAGTTGCAATCCCCCCCCCTGGTTGACACCAAAGAAGCAGAGACAGATGCAGAAGCAGACCGCAGCGCAGACCTCAGACTCAGAACCCGGACCGCACTGCCGCAGAGAGGAGACAGCAGCTAAAGGGCTGGCGCATGCAGTGTCCTCAGCCTTCCGGCGCTCTTTGCGGGTCCAACCATCCCCTCTCTCCCTTGCCTCGACGCCTTCGATGCAGCTCGGCTCCTTGTACTGTGTCTCCTGTCTGGACCAGCACCCCAGCGAACGCACTGTCTCTCCCATGTTCTTTGGTGTCTTTCAGACACAGCTGCGATCGACGGCCGTGTCCACGCCCGAGACCTCAATACGCCCGTCATCCAATGGCCGTGCCGCCGCAGATGCGGCAACGGGGCTGCCCCTAAGGTAATAAGAAGAGCCCCATGCTTCGCTCTGTTAACACACCTACACGACCACGACCGCTCCAACTCTCTCACAACCCACGCTACGCCGGACGCTACGCTGGGGACCACTATTCCAGGTTCTCTCCCCTTCACCTTTGACGTACCTAAGGTAGGTAGTGCCCGCCCCGTCTCCATCCATCCCATGTCCACCACGCCCACCAAGGCCACCATGACCCTGTCTCATCCACCACCATGTCCACCATAGCTCATGGGCCTTTTTCCTCTCCCTCTCTCTCGCTCACTTCCTCCTACCTTACCCAAGTCAAGCTACAACATCTCTGCTCCAGTTGCCGAATGAGCCCCACTGACACCCGCCATAGCAGGGCCCCCTGGCCTTTTGTCTTTACCTGCTGCGTGGCTCCTCCTCTGGCTCCAGCTTCTCGCCCTCTTCTTGTCACGGCCACCTGCGCTCACACCTATAACTAACAACTATAACTAACAACCAAGTGCATCATCGTGACGGTTCGCCGCTTGCTCCCTGGGCCCCCCGTCCATTTTTACATCGCACGGCCCTGGTCCTGGCTGATATCACAACGTTCCCCCAGCCCTTACCCTCCTGATCCCTGTCGAGCCTGATCAAGGCCCAGAACCCACTCACCTCATCGATATCTCCCACTGCTCCCCCAACTCAACTCTCTCGACTCAACATGGTTCGACCCCAATCGACATAATCGGCCCTCTTCCACCACGTCCTGAGCACTGGTCACCTCCATCGCGTCTCTCTGGTCGGCTTCTAATATTAAAAAGCAAACCCTCCTCCACTACCGACTTCCTTCCTCCCCTTGTCCCCAGACTTCTTTAAGTACCCCTCGTCGACTTCACCCTCACCCTCATTCTCCTCCACCTCTTAATCTCCCATCTCGTCATCTTCCTCGCCTTCTTAATACACCTTCATCTCTTCTATGCCCCCTATGCCCCCTAACTTTTACTACCTGCCTGGTTGACATAATTGATCACCTGCCGACTCAGCTCTCGCTGCTACACATTCCCGCACACAGAGCACTTTGGTCTTCCTCCGCGCCAGAAATTGCCCCTCCGAAGTCAGACATCGCCAGATCTGGAACCCGTCGCTCCGCCAAGGACTAGTCGTCTCTGTCGCGCAATCCCCCAACTCGCCGCGAGCGTGATCAAATCCAATTCCCGCCAGCGGGATCCCAGCCTCCGGCACCTCTGTCGTCTCGTCCGCTGTAGCGTGGATCACTCAAATCCTTCGTCTGGAACTCAGACCAGCCGAACAGCATCTGCCCCTTGATATCACCGACACATTCGATCGTCTGCAGTCTACAATCTAGCCAGGACATCCGAGACATTGCTATGGAGCTTTTGGAACTTGTTGAGAACGAGCCTACGGCTCGTCCATTCCAGTGTGATTGGCAGTCGTGCACCAAGGTTTGCTCCCTCCTAGTCCCCTGAGCTATCTAGTTGGCTAACATTTAGGAAAAAGAGCTTCAATCGTACGTCTGACCTACAAAGGCATTATCGAATTCACACCAATGAGCGGCCTTACTCTTGCTCTACCCCAGGCTGTGGGAAGAGCTTCATTCAGCGAAGTGCCTTGACTGTCCATATCCGAACACACACCGGTGAGAAGCCTCACCAGTGCCAACATATTGGCTGTGGGAAACGCTTTTCGGACGTAAGTTGCTGCATGTGCCTACAGCAGCCTCAGCCACTAACTGGTAAAACAGTCCTCCAGTCTCGCTCGTCACCGACGAATCCACACTGGGAAGCGACCTTACAAGTGTGGTCATAACGGCTGCTTGAAGAGGTTTGCAAGCCAACCCAAGTTGACTGACGTCTGCTAACAAGACAACAGCTTCTGCCGAAAAACCACCATGGTTAATCACCAGCGGAGGTCGCACCAGCAAGGACTGAACCCCAACGATATCCTGGACGATTACTCATCGGACTCCGACTCTGATGAATCTCCGTCCACTCCACAGACCTCTGCGATGACTTGGTCTCTTCAAGACATGATTCCTGTCAACTCGATACCACAGGGCTCGTTACACCGCGCTAGTTCCTTTCCCGAATTTGGACAGCAAATGCACGCCTACCCCCTCCACCAACAGCAATATGTTGGCCGGCACGCTATCCCATCCAGCGTCCCTCCCGAGTTCCACCCGCAAGCCGTCGCCGAACAGCAAGCCGGAATGCATATGCTCCATCGAACAGTGAGCATTCCTCGACCAGCATATTATGTCACCGACCAGAGCAACCCGGGAATCGCAACAATGAGCACCAACCCCATTCAGCACCAGTATCAGCTTGCCCAACAGCAGGTTGACAGATCTTCCATGGAAATGTCGTACCCACCTTCAGGGATCGCAACGTCTATCCAAAGCAGCCCGGGTACCTTCTCTGCGGCCTCGGTACAGAGCCCCCTAATGCAGGATGGCTTTTACCCGCACCAACAGCAGCACCCGCCGTCATACACTCTTCAGGCTGCGTCACCAGTGGATTCGCACCATAGCATGTCCTCGTACACTCAATCGATTCACCAGGCCATGAACCAGGCTCAGCAGCCAGTTACTTCCCAGACCCAGCAGAACCAAACCCCAACGACCGAAAACTACCATCAACCAGCTGCTCAATCTCAGGAGGAGCACTGGCCCCAGTACCAACCCCCTATTGAGGTGACAACCATTGGCCAGTTGCCTGCATACGGCACTGGTGTCTACGATCTGTGTGGTCCGAAGATCGAGTTTGACGATCCCACGATGCAACTGCCTAGCAGCAGGCTTGAGAGCCTATAGACGAGCCTGCCAAATTTCGGCTCTTGATCGAATGCCACTTCCGCAGGCATAATCGCACGTTCGGCGGTTCTCGATCGAGCTCATCTCTGTATCAATATCATACCCGGGCTGGACTAGACATATATTCCCCTGTTTTGATTTTTCTTCTTTTTCTTTTGCTAGGATATACCACTTGGGATACACAGACCAAATACCGGCGGGTGGCTCACCCCGCTGACATGAGGGAACTGGCTTTGTTGTTCCCCTGACTGGAGGAGAACGGATACCAGTCTTGAATTGGCAGCATCTCCTGGCGTTCTTGTTCTGCTCCCCAGGTCTAGGATATTGAACGGCGGGCCGGTTTTCCTGTTTCTTCTATGGCTACGCCTGAGTGCAGCACACGTTGCCTCTGGCACTAGTCGGCGTTCCGATGGGACTAGTTCGTTCCCTTTTGTTTTTACGCATCACGATTCCCCTTTGTTTGAAGCACCACATGCCCAAGCGCATGCTCCTTTTTGGTTGCTTGAGACAGTTTTGCATTTGGTTCTTGCATTGTCAATCTTTTCCAGCATCGGCCACACCTCACGAAAGGTGTGCTGCGGTGGGACGGTTTACAACGGGGTTGACGGACGACGGAATGGGTGGGCGAGCCGGATGGCAGGTCTGACAAGACGAGACAACGGAACGACTATCGGGTAGGCCTTAAAGGAATGGGTGTTATTACCAAGGAACGTGGATGGGTTGAAATACGCTAAGGCGGCAGTGATGATTGACGAGACGGTGATAAAAGTTGCTGGGGAAGAGGCTCGCGGAGATACCCTGAGGAGGAGAGGTCAAGGCGATAGAGGTGGAACAAGCGATGAGTTGCATGACCACGAAAATTCCCCGCAGTACTGGGTTATGAGGCGAATGTACCTGGACGAAGCTAATGAGGGCCATGTGGAATTCAATTTAGCCATCAATTGTGATGGATAGCATAGGCCTCTAGCAATAGTGTAATTGTTTGCTTTACCCATCTTCTCCCATTCAGTTGGTGCAGGTTTGTGATTTCACAAGTCGATATATGCTTTTAAGCTTCACAGTCCCTCAAGCAGTTACTTGCCTTGCCCTCGACAGCCCTCTGATCTTCTCGCCTTACCCTCTATCTTATGAAGATACCGTTCCGTCTCCTTGGCATCCAACCCAAAGGCAAGCCGCACCATCTCGTAGACGAGGCCCGCATCCGCCTCCGGCAAGCCGCCGAGCTTGGTGAAACAAGCATATATTCTTGATGCCGGGCTGTCCAACACTTTGGCGAATGACCCTCCGAGGGACCGTCCCTTCTGCCGAAGTTCCATCTCGGCGTCTCGGAACTTCCGGGTGTACATTCTTCGAGCAGACTCCTGCCGCGACACGTTTCTGTGCGCAAGGTGATTGGGATCCTGAAGGATGCCTTCAATCTCCGCCTCTGACCCCAGCAACGGAAAGGGCATGGGGTAGTGGTTGACCTGCCAGGGGGCGGTTTGGGCGAACTCCCAGTCGATGATAGCCAGGAAGTTAAAGTTCTTGTCAACAAGGATGTTCCGTGTGCCAAGATCCATATGATTGAGGGGAAATCGCCCATCAGTGTCACTGTCCTCGAATAATGCAGTGTTATGTACGATGTCGCGAAAGACAAAGGCAGCCAGCCTGGTAAAGGACATTGAACTGCCTTTTAAATCCGCATCGGACAGATCCAGCTTGCTGATTGCGGCGTCTCCAACGGCAGTGAAATACTCAGCCGGACTAGAGAAAGGCCCCTCGTCCCTAAGCCCTTCGGCCGAGGCGGTGGCCAACCTGTCAATAATAGGCTCTCCCGTTTTTGATACGGAAGAGATGGAACCGATCCAAGGATACGCCAAGGTCGCCAGTTCTGCTTGTACCTTTGTCCATTTGTCCATTGGGTCATAATATGTTCTTGAGCTGCAACCTGCATCTAGTTAGAAGTTTCGCAGCAGACTTTATGCCTTTGATGTTGCCTGTGTGGATACTTGAGGCAAAATAAACGAATCAGGGCAGAAACGAGAGGAAGCAAGGCAGAGCTGGAGTGATATAATTAGAGAACCACCTACCGATAGGTTGCACATATCGAACTCAACATCTTGCAAGGTATTCCCATAGAAGCCTTCCAAAAGCATGTGTATGGCACCGGCATCGGCAGCAAGCTGCGACCCTGGGCCCTCATAGGCGTATACACGAGGAATAGTAACGGCGGGGAGGTTTTGCCTCACAAATTTCATCGTTGCGACCTCGCAGGCAATGGCGTATAGTTCATCTCCCTCACTGACCGTGGGCGGGGTGTCAGGATGCCGAGGCAAGCGAACTCGGGCAATGACCAGACTGCCGTCCTCGGCAATCATCTCGAAACGGATCCAGTACTGGCCCGCCGAGAAGGGCTGGCTCATGGTAACTTCCTGGCCCTTGATGAGCTCGGCGTGGCGCACAAGTACAGACTTGTCGATCTTTGCGAGCAGTCCCTGCAAACGCTCCTTCATGCCGTTGTAGTCCCAACCGTCGAAAGACGCCCATCGCGTGCTCGGCGGAACTCTTGAGGTCTGTGCTGCGGCCATGGTTACATGGCGAAGGGAGACCATGGCGCCTTCGAAGCAGGTGGTCGGTCTTCGCAAGGCGTCGGGGCTCTCTCTTCCGGTCTCTAGCCATCCTGCTTGACTTGTCTCTCATTTTTCGCACCCTTCTCTTTCTTGACCTTGTGACGGTACAAGGGCACGAACGAGGTCGAGTGCGACTTGGGCAAAATGATTGTTTACAAGGAGAGAAAGAGATTCCTAAGGAAAGCTCTGACTTAAAGCTATTTACACAATATTCATAAAGTGAGACTATTCATAAAGTATGAAAGTCACATGATCGTTCCCTCACAATCTGCTGGATGTTCAACGGGGCCAAAGGGGCACAACACCAATGGGGCATTTGTTCCGATACTGAAGAGTGTTTGTCGTTCCCTAGCTGTATGTGTCACGGGCCAGGGCCCGTATCCTTGCGGCTGTGCCGCAAGACGTACTAGGCTCGTGCGCGCCAGGGATGAGAAATCGTTCCACAGCTCAGGGGCACTTAGGAACTTCTTCTTTCTTCTTCATCTTTGATGTAAATAGCATCGTGGACTAGATAGCTGGAATCCAGCTACTAGAGGCCGTTCACAGTATGGAGTTTCTAGGCAAGATCAACTACCGAAAGGACCAGCGGGTGCGGTTCCTAAGCTGCTTCTATCAAAGTATGTAATTGATCACTTTCAAGACGTTCTCTAGCTGGACTGACACTTGGGTATTGCTCAATCCCTTCTTTATGTCTTGGTTAGGTCCTCATGGCGAAGCTAGGCCATCTATGCAATCGGATCTGGACGTAGCCCAGGCCACTGGCGGCCCAGCGCCTTGGATGTGAGTCGCCCCGAGCATGATCTCGGTCTACTATGCAGCAAGCGTTCAACGGAGCTTCAAAAACTCCAACAAACGAATTTAGAAACACTGACGAAGGAAAGCAAGGCATCACCATCTCCTCGTCAGAATCACAGACAACTGCCGACTCTGCCTTAAGGCCGAGACGGCTCGTCGCCTATCTGTGTCGATCCCTCGGGCTAAGAGTGCGCCTCAAATAGGCTTTGGATTTCTCCACACCGCCGGCTGCCCCGGATTGCCCGGCCAATTCTAGACTCCACACTTGAACTCGGGCAAAGGTAGATCCTCGACCAGCGCAACCATGCAGTCCACGCCGTCTCCAATGGGATCTGAGGGTCACCCACCCTCACGGTAGTTAGTTAGTGAGCCGCCGTCCACTGACCGCAAAGGGAGGATGGTACACCTGATTCATTGGACATGTGACGGCCAATACCCTTCGCGACGGTCACCGTCCCGAATTTTTAAGTTGGTGAATATCCTTCCCCCCCACATCGCCAGGCACTGCATTCCGGGGAAGTCCGCCAGTGTGCTCTGAGAATGTCACAGGGTTTTGCGCTGACAACACGGCGTACCTGATGGCCGGCCGCCCCGGACAATCCTTCCAACGCCGATCTTCTCCACAAGGACCCTTCTTTTCCTCTGGAATGCTTCGCACATCGATGGAGTGACCAGCCGCTTCGAGGAATTGTATTGATGGATATGTCGAACCCGGCGGTCGCGAAGCTGGTCGCGGTGACCGCTTCGCTGATTGCTTTGATCACGCTCTTCGCCTCTGTCCGGTTCTTCGTTCGCAGCGTTCTGTTGCGGAGCGTGGATTGGGACGATGGTATGCTACCTTTGGAGCCGCCTTTTACATCTTCGATGCTTACTTGAGAATAGTCCTGGTTTTCCTCAGCTACGTGTGATTTGCTCTATCCAGTCAGGAGAGGAGACATCACTGACGATACCAGTCCCTGACCATTGTGCTTTGCAGCTGCGTATTAGCCAGTTAGTTCTGTGGCGTGGACAAGCCTTTCTGGGAGAGGTAGGACTGATCTTCGCAGTGACCAACTTTGGCTTCGGAACCCCAGTTGACGATGTCTCTGACGACGATCTCCGCCAGTTCCTCAAGGCAAGTAATGTTGTCAGCCTTGCGCGAGTGTCGAACTGACCCCAAGGCCTTGCAGCTCCAATTCGTCACGAAGCTGGCCTACGTGTGGGGCTTCGTTACGGTTAAGATGTCGTTCGCGGTACTCTACCTTCGATTGCTTCCCGGCCACGTCTCCCGACGCATCAACCAGGTGCTCCTTGCCGTGTTGGCGGCCGAGGGCGTCGAAGCGACCATGGTCGTTGTCTTCCACTGTAAGCCCATGGACAAGGCATGGAACATTCAGAAGGAAGGCACTTGTCTCAACTTGAAGCTCTTTTACTACGTTTCGGTGAGCCCTACAACTGGAACAGACTACAAATAGATATGCTTACAGCGACCCTCCCTAGTTCGCTATCAAGTTCGTCACCGACGTCTGCCTCTTCATCCAGCCCATCCCGGCCGTCTGGAAGCTTCAACTGTCGAAGGTGAAGAGGCTCGGTGCGATCCTGATGCTTTCGATTGGTTTGTTGTAAGTAAATCACTGACACACATCTTGCTTCCATGGCCCGCTGACTTATGCGTGTAGTGTCTCTATCATTGCGATCATTCGAGTGACCTACATCGGTCAGCTTAGGACCGATGTGACCAGTACGGATCTTCTCATACCTATTCGGCTTCACGTTCTTACACTAGACAGAGGACCTCGTGGACCCGATGATCTGGTCCCAAGTCGAAGTGTGCGCCCTCCTCGTCTGCGCGTCGATTCCTTCTCTCAGACCATTCCTCCGATGCTTCCCTGCCGTCAGCAAAGCTCTGGGCCTTTCATCAGGCAAGGACTCGAGAACACCTTCCAACATCGGACGATCCCCTCGCGGGCTATCGCTACCCTTAATGAGATGGAGCAAACCGAAACAATCGCATGTACAATCAAACAAGTCTACTAAAATAAGCGTGAGCTGTAACGTTACCGCCTCCGGTCCTGGGAGCGACCATGGCAGCACAGAAGAGATCTTCCCTCAACGGCACGGCGGCCCAAGCAGCATTGTCGTCACACACGATGTCGAAGTCGGCGTTGAGAGAGTCGATACTGGCGAGAGGTTGAGCAACGACCAGGGGCAGATTGAGGCGGTTGAGGATCGGTCGCTCGATCATATCTCGCGATCCGGGAGTCCTGTCCGGCCGAAGGAGGATTGGAGCTGGGTTGCTCTGGAACGTTGACTGACTGGATCGGTTAGACGGTGTCTGGGAATGGGAGAGGAAAGAATGGCCGTTGTCCGAGAACATGGCCCGGGAATGCAGTACTTGGACGCGTCGAATCAGCATCATGTAGGATAATATACTGCTGTGGGATCACTCCCATGAGCGAAGTTTTCATTCTTCAACTACTACACGAAGCTCAGCCACTCGTCGACTTCTAACGTCCGTTCGTGACGTTGAACCTCACGCAGATGGCATCCGCAATGCTCTGGACAAGGCCATACAATATCAAAAAGAGCGGGGTCATTTGATTCTCCTTGGTCGGTCAATCGGCTTGGCCAAGGCGCTGAAGTGGTATGATCTTCGTCGTGGGTCTGGATAGAAGCTAAATGGTAAGATTGGCCCAGAGCTTCCCCGACGGTTTCTAATTGTTTATATAGAAGCTCTCAACCCTGAGGAACGAAATAAGATCATGGGACACCGCCAGGGAGACTCGAGGGTGTACGTCATGTACTACATGTCCACCTTTATGGATACGGGCTGCCAGTCGATCTGTTTTGGCAGCCCTCCGCAGCACGACTTGACAGTCAAGCGAGGCGAGACCAATGAGTGTATGAGTAAGAATGTAGGGTTTTTGGGTGGTCGAGACCAATCGTTGGACCTGTACTGCTTGCACTGTCGCCTCTTCGTATGTGATCCTCGTACGTCGTGTTATCTATCTTTTCTCGCCTGCCACTTGCATTGAGGATGACTTCCTCTGTTGTAGACGCAGTCAACCTCCTTCCCTCGTTCCTAGCCGATGAGGTGCATGGCATGCCCGAGTCGAGGGTATTTGAGACCGTTGCAAAGCGATGGTACGGGTTGCGGTCAGGGCCTATCCGTGCCGGTGATCTCATGGCGACGAAAGACTCGAGTGAGGGAGACAAAGATGTAGCGAACCTGTCAATCCTCGTCGAAGATGAGTCAACTAACTGCGGCGCCAATGCGTTGAAGACGAAGGAGATGTTGGATGCGGCGGGGATCACGGCGCCGCGGTCAATCATTGTGGTGCAGGATCTGTCACATATATACAGCCACTACAGCTACATCTGCTGGAGTGTGCACTCCACTTTTGGCCTATTCGGCAAATGCGACAGGATCCGACAATGTCGCGGCGGACAGTGGCGTCTTTCAATAAAGCGTATCTTCGTGGCCAAGAGATGGATGTGGATGAGACCGTTCCGAAGGTGGTGGCTTGGCCGACACTCGTACCGGAGGTTATGTGTCCACCCGAACCAGGGTGGGGAATCTATCTACATCTATCTACCAACGCCTCAAGTAGATAGATGTAGATGCTTAGTCATGACTTGCAAGATAGATAGATAGATGTAGGCTACATGTAGATATAGGTAGATGGCATCTATCTACTAAAACCCCACAACCACTAAACCACTGTCTCTACTATATCATCGGCCATCTCCGTCAACAACCCGTTATATCCTTCCAACAGCCCTGCTTTCAGCCATGACCTGACTGTCTGAGCAACAGAAATTGTACTTGTGTCTAGACGAGTCCGTTTGGGGGATACCATGGTACTTGCGGAGGAAAAAGTCCGCTGATATTCAGCAGCCATCGCCGGGATTGATAAGATGTCAATCGCCATTCTAGCCACGCGTGGATGTTTAAACCGCTTAGCAGGCCAGCACTGAAGCGGGTCATCATGCTTTGTGTAGACGTCTGGCTTTGTAGTTGGCAATTGATAGGGGTGCTGCACCATTTTGATAGGGGTGCCGCAAGCTTACGGGTGCCGCACTTTTGCGCTTCTCATTGGTCCAAAGACTCGTCGGCCCCGTCAGGCCACCCCGCACAAGGCGGTGAGCTGGTCCGCTCCACTATGCCTTAACACTGTAGGGACCACCGCCACTGTCACGGTGGTGTTTTCGTGGAGTAACTGGGTCATCACAGGCATAGAATGGAAGCAAATGGCCTAGCGACTACGGCCGTGGATGGTAAGTATGCACATCTATAGTCTCCTACGGTAGAGCTCTTTATATGAGGTTACTCAACGCTGACAATGTCATGGAACGGGCCCATAATTTCCTTTTCGGGCGTCGCGACTTTGTTAGGGGATGCGCTGTCCCAAATCTACTAGTGACGAGTAATTCGACTCATTATTATTCTGCTGCGCTATAGTTTGACGACAATAGACTGGTCCTTCTGCCTTTCGGCTGAGTACAAGGCTCTTGTTCCTCAGGATCTCTTTCGATTCTCCTCCAGATGTCACCTACGGGGTTGCGCTTCATACCAAGCGCTTCCTGCAGCAACATATCTTTGATATATAGCTTGTGCGGAATCGTACCTCGGCGGTGAACATGGAGGTATATTGGGCGAAGGTATTGACATAAGAACAGGCGACGTAGGAGGCGGTGGCGCAGCTTCAGCAAGAGGTTGAGATGCTGATACTGCTGTCGTGGAATTCGATTCCGGGACCCCTTTTGGATTTGGGGTTGAATCCAATAATGCGGTACCGGTAGATCGTGAGGCTGCTCCGAAGCAAAATCTGATTGCAAGGGTCATTCTGAGTACCTCAAAGGGCATGCCTTTGAGGTCATTGTATGGCCAACCGTATGGCATTTGCTGCATTTGCTTGGAGCCCGTGTAGCAGCTTTAACTGCTGTAGATCTTGTTTGGATAGAAAGCATTGTCTCCTCATCGCTCAATAGCTCCCATTGAGACCGTTGTCTTCGTACACTCGGTTGAGTCCTGCACCCACTTGCCCGTATTCCGGTAGTCTTCCCAGACCCGAGAGGCAATGTCCTTCCCTGGCTTGACTGACTGTTTTGTGCCTGGCTGGCCCCGCCCGCCAAGGGGGCCAGAGTCGTCTTGTTTCGACTTCTAGGTGATCGGCCGCGGCGCTTTGGCTGACTGTTTTGAGGCTGACTGTCTGAAACCCGACGGCTCCGGGTTTGACTACTGGGCCCAACTGCTTACTCGCCGGTATAGGCTGGGGGTTGTTTTTTGGCCGTCCACGAAGATTGGTAGCGATCTTTGGGTCTAGGATCCGGCGATGTATGTCTTCGCTCACAGGCTCTCGTAGATGCCACCGCGGATGGATATTCCACTTGGTCAGAGGCGTTGCGGTGATAAGCTTCCTGTAGATGGTATGATAACAGGGGATACCAAGCTCGATAGGCACGGTGCAATCGTCGTTACACGATCTTATGGGACCCGGCCACGGATTTGCCGGGGTTGGGATGCCTTTCAATGCCTTGCGGTGCTCCCTGGTAATCAAAGAAAGTGCCTTCTGAGACACTATCTTAGGAAGCTCGCCCAGATACTCTGAGCCGCGCCCCACGTGCTCTCGCGCCGTTAACACTTCGTCCTGAGCACAAGCTTGACGAAACTCCCTCTCCTGGTCTTCCAGCATACCTTGGATTGCCTCGACAAGCCGATACAAATGGCTCATGCCATTTAGGAGATAGCTCTTGATATTGTTGTTGCTGGCCTCTGTACCGGAGGTCACTCGAATGCCGAAGTTGCGGTACTTCCGGATGAAGCAGCGGGCCCACTGCGCCCTTACAGGCATGTACATACCATACAGATACGCGAGAATCGCTCTCTGGTCACCGAATTGCGTACAGAGGCATTCCCAGGCCTTCTCATGATCCTCTTCCGTCTCGGCAAACAGCACCAGCCTCCACAGCATAAGAACTCCGTGGTAATCGTGGGTTATCGGCCGAGACATATTGTCTTGGGTGATTGGCTCCTCTTCTCTTCTAGATGCCTGTACTGCCTGTCGATCGCGCTGGCTGAGGGTAGCATCGGGCTCATCCGAACTACTCTCTTCGCCAGTACTGCTGTCCATCGTAGTATTCGCCCACTTCCGTTTGGACTGCAGCATTACATTGGAGTTGATATGGTGGATGCAAAGTTGCTGCTGGGCGTCTTGAAACTCAACCCCTAGTGCCTTCTTCATCTGGTCGTCAAAGTCGGTAATGACAACGTCGGGGGATCGGACGCTGTATCGGTCGAGGAGCGTGCGTACACCGTTTGCAAGGAACTGGAACCCTTCAAGCCTCTCGTTGTCAATCAACCCGAATGCGGCGTTAAAGACAGTACCCAAGCAGGTCTGTCCCGTAACTTGGAAGAGGGGCAACTTGAAGCGGTTCGTGTTGTATGTGTTGTCGAAACTGATGACCTCGGGGAAACGCTTCCACATCCGGATAGAGTAAGGGAACGTCCAAACCAACCCCACCAGGCGGTCGGGTTCGTCCCTGGCCCACTTGGCAACGTAAGGGATCTCCTTGTCGTCGAACAACTTGATCAATGCAGCCGTAGAGCTGTAGCCACCCAGATTATCTCTGTTAATCCGAGCTCTGGCATTGTAGATATCTCTCTGGGTGTAAACCGAATCTGGGAAGTGACCTCGGACCATACCACCAATGTCTCGTGCACGAATGCCAATCCGTCGACTGGAAGACTGGATGGTCGCCTTGACAGGGCTAGTAAGTCGTCGATGAACTGGATGGGCGGCGGCATCGGTACTAGGGTTATGGTTATGGTCGTGGTGTTCCGCATCTGGGAAGTGCCGTAGAGTCCACTGGAAGCCGTTCTCTGGCAGGGCCTCGGCAATAATCTTCCATAGGCACCCCGACTTTCGAGACTTTCGTTTCCGAAGGCCAGCACCCCTTCCTGGCCGGGGAACCCCGTACCGATCGCATTGGAAGACATATCGACTTCGCTGTCCAGGTCGAATCATACCATGCGCCTTGATAACACCAAAGCCATGGGTTTTCGCAAAACTGTTGACCCTAGCAAAAAGGGCGTCAACCGACGGAGCTGGATCGCCAGGAATTGGTGGGTTTGAGATTGTTTCGATAGCGTTGGATCTCGAGCTGGCATCGGACAGTCCGTGCTGCTCACACTGCTCCTCGCCCTGGGCAGGCACCTCCGGAAGCAATGAGACCTGAACAGGGCTTGTGACTGGCTGTGAAAAAGTCACTCGGCCTTGTTGCTCTTGACGGCTTTGTTCGGCCCAGGCAAGGTTCCTTTCGTGGGCCAAGGCAAGTGCAGAGGCGAGGTGCCGGTCTGTTTGTACGAGCTGGCGAGCCAATCCTAAGGCAGTCGGGAGGATCGTCATTCTCGTTACAGCTCGCGTTATACGCTCGTCTCGGCTCTGTTGATTGGCACACTGCCTCTCCCGTATGGTCTTGGCCGGGTCTGGTATCAGTGTGTCAACGTGTTGGAACGGTTGGCTTGGTCGATACTGGGAGGTGCGATAATTGTTCCGGAGGGATATGTCTGATTTTCGCCACTGAACACCTGGAATATCCTTGCCGATCGAATCGTGAAGTCCAGGCAGAGAGTAAAAATGCTGGTTGAGCCATCCTGCAGGCACGCCGCCCATACCTTCCGTACCATATCGACATATTTCGAGGCTGGCCGTTGAACTGCCTGACGACTGGTCTGAGTTGCTCGACGAAGGCCGCGATGGCGTTTGACTAGGGGGATTGATCGTGCTAATTGGACTTCTGCGACGGCTTATGTTGGCGGCAGCGGCATCAGGTGAAGGCATTGTAGAGCTGCTCCTTCTTATAGTCAGGTCGCCTGGACAGACCATCGCAGGATTGGTAATGCCGGGAATATGTGGTCACGTAATGTTAAACAGGGATAACGTCATTATCCAGAGGTTCTTTCTACGATTGGTTGTGCTCGGTTTCAGTGTGGCCGTGTTGATAGGCGTATTGTACTCGTCGGGCGTTGAGAGAAATAATGGCGATGACCGAGATACCGCGATGTGACGCGAATTGTCAACCAGCTGGCAAGAATGCGGCAGAATTCTGGCGCGTAAAGGTGCACTAACAGGTGGGAGTTGGACCAATGAGAAGCGCAAAAAGTGCGGCACCCGTAAGCTTGCGGCACCCCTATCAAAATGGTGCAGCACCCCTATCAATTGCCTTGTAGTTAACCATCGTTGGAACTCATCTGCAATCGGTTCTTTCTCGTAGGTCGAATACGACAATAGCTCGTCTTGAAACGAATCGGGGGGATTATGAAAGTCGTTTTGAGGCAAAGATCAGGCTCAATGAGCCCGGAATACTTCGCACGACGAGCAAAGCTTGCGCCTGCATGATGTTAACCACAAAATCTGTCTACGGTTTGGCGAAGACAGGGGGCAAAAAGAAAAAAAAAGATAGGTCATGAACAAAAGCAAAAATACAAGGAGGGGGGTACTAGTACTTCAGTACGCTGGGAACATACCAGCATGTCGAGGTACCTCTACCTTAGGTAGTTTGTGGCTGGCGTCTACCCTACATTTCATCTATCTACCTGGCGGCCAGATAGATAGATGACCCACAAGGGCCAGCAGTAGATAGATAGATGTAGTCTACATCTATCTACATCTACATTTCATCTACTTCGGTAGATAGATTCCCCACACTGACCGCGACGGATAGTTAAGATGAAAAATGGACACTGAATCGCAATGGGATCTCCGTGCCGTGCAAGTGTGGTAGTGAGTGAGTGTGTGGGGAGCAGCACGCAGAAGCGGCGATTGATTGGGGTGAGAGTGTCGGACCAATCGGATTTGGCTCGCGGGAGTACAGTTACGATCAAACAAACAAGCTCGCTGCGCATTATGTCTCCTTAATTCTATTATCTGCAAGCCAAGATGCATTTCATTTGCTAGGGTAAATTTTATGCATCCTTCTCAGTAGCTGCTCCCTCTCTCGCTGAAGCACTTCCTCCTCTCGTTCCAACGTCTGAATGTATTGTCTCGCCGCGTCTAGAATCTCGCCCCTACTAACTCCTCGGCTGTCATTGCGGGCCTTGCTTCGCATGTCAACGGACCCATCAGTGCTGACAGAGCCGCTCTCCTCGCTGTCAGTCTGTGAGGTAATGGGAATCATGTTTAGCAGAGTTGTGAATCGCGAGTTGAGTCTGTCGCGGTACTGCTTCTCGGCCCTGTTGTGACAGTCCCGGGCGTGTTTCTGCGCAAACGTGATTTGGTGGTCTTCCTTTTCAGATGCTAGCGATCGGTTCTTCCCACCTGAATTCTTGGACTTTCGGGACGCAGTCGGAAGTTTGCGGGTGCCCCCTTTGTCGTCACCGACTAAGCTCCTCGTTGACTCTCTTTCTCCCCTCTTGCCACTGAGAGAAAATGCTTCTGAAATTTGTCGGTAGGCTGTTGTGTGGGTATAATCGGAAGCAGTTTGAACATCTTGGGACAGGTCTAAGGTGGGAAGACCACCATACAATGGTTGACCTAGACTGAGATCCCAAGGAATAGACTCCATAATATCCATTGACACATCCCCTACGTCCATTGGGTTTAGTCACGACTGCGAGTTGCGAGTAGCTTTGGTATGACATACAGAAATTCAGTGCCATCTCTGCATCCAGAATGGGTGATGAGATGCGGTCAGATTCTAGAGAGGAAACGGCTGTGCTCTGGAAAGGCGACAGTGCAGAGTCATTGAAACAAAGCCCCGCGGGGCCCTTCCCATAGTAGTTCTCGTAAAATGGTGCCTTTTTATAGTAATTGTCGGATCTGGGGATGGATTGATCCCACGCATACGGAAAGTGACCAATTTCTGACGCCGTAGCCTAACAAACGATGAGCATGTTCTTAATTTCAAAGATGACAATGCCCCACGGTTTGTTCCAGCGATCTGGATACCTTATGCGTTGTCTCGCGGAAAATTATGCGAGAGAGCCCACAGGGATTTCGACTTTTGGGGAAATGTGGAGCAGGATGCTGGGGGGAAGGATGAGATTGGGTAGGGTTGATTTGTACGCCGAGTGGATTCAGAGACAAAGAGGATCCATGGTACCTACATTTTCGCTTGTGCGACAGGATAGGACCAGGTCCGAAGGACATATCGTAGCGTCCATTTTTGCGCGAGAGATAGGTCGGTGTGACCTCAATAGTGATTTTTGCACTGAGTGTCTAGAGAATCGAGTACTTGTGGGATGGCCTGATGGGCGAGAACCATGATTCTTCAGGGACTTGATATAATCTTTGAGTTGAAGTATTTCTGGATGCTGGGATAAGCCTGTTTGGCAGCAACTTAGTGGCAGCCACCCCTTGATGCAAGCATGGGCTGATTACAAAGGCCATCACCAAGTCACGAGGAATATTACGTGGTGATGTGCGGCCGGGGGTCCGAATCGCCGATCCAACGATGGCTCAAGTTCTGGCCCTTTAAGCCACATCGGGTTTCAACCAATCATCAGCAGCTTATTGTCAGCAGAAGACCACGACAAGGGGAGCTTTTCCTGTTAAGGATTACCCGGCGGTCTACGGAGGACCATTTCAAAAGTCTTTGCCCGCGCTACGGACGCCACACCCCTTAATCCTTGTTAAGTACCTGACGGTACATTAGACATTATGTAACTGCAGGTAATCATCCGCTAAACGCACTACAGCTTTAGTGGTGTTAGAGCCATGTCATGCACAGCCAGTGGACTAAGTGCGCCATAATATAGGGCTTCTTATGGCGCTAACACTCGTACAATGTACTCAATGTTCTTCTAACAAGAAAAAGCAATATGTGGCTTGTACGCGAGCAAAGACTTTTGAAATGGTCCTCCGTATGGGTCCGGCAGTCCGACCGGTTAGTGCGATCAAGCCAGGGTTCCTCCAAGATTTTCGGAGACACAGCCAGGTCCCCATGACGATGAACCACTTGAGGGAACAAAAATACACGTAATTACGCACGCACCCAAACCCATCCGCCGGGACGATCGCCAAGGCGAACTCCGGATGCCGATACAGATGTTTGTCCAAGGGTCCAAGATCGGTACGTATGCGTCATACGACGTTGGGACGCATCTCTATTGCGCTCTGAGCAGATGCGACCGTGGACTACTAGCATGACAAAAGAGCCGCAAGGGTTTGAATCCTACCTCTAGGTCTGGACTCGGGGATTTGGCAAGGGAAACCCTGCGGGGACTAAGCTACGGGCTTTATAATATTCGGCGACATGTGATTCCCAAAGAGCTTGGAGGGAGGATCGTCGGGCATGCGGCTCCGTCTGGGTAGGTGGCTGTGGTCCAGATTGTGGACGCTCACCATGGCGAATTCCAGGGGCGAGATGGAAGCCATGTGGCATCTATCATACGCTGCAGTCAATGCCAACGAGAAGTGGCCGGTTGAGGCCTCGAGAATAGCGGCATTTGCAAGAGCAAAATCTACGGGTCGAAATATGCGTATGCAGAAAGTCGAGGTATCTGATCTTCTCTCCCGTGCTTTGTCCACGGCTCTAGACGTCGTGCAGTTTGAGAAACGAGGATGATTTCGGCTCGATCTGAACTGCCATGACTACGAGAACAATAGCTAGTGCTCACCTGTATTTACAAATAATTACTTCACTTCCATTACAATTGACGGCGACTCCCGCCTTTCAAGGTGCCGTGTTGATGATGTAACTCCCCCACGATGCAACGGCTGAAACGGACGAGCCCGAGCCTGCAGCGATGCCGATGAACCTGGAGTATAGAGAAGGCGGAGATCGAACATTCAACATGGTAGACATGAACACCAACCAGAATTTGTACTCATTTCACTTCACATTCGGCGAAGCTTTTGGATCAACGTATGTCAGCCGCGGTGATGGATCCCAAATCGGCAGCGCCAAGTTCCACTCCTTGTCGAGCAAACAGGACATGATGATTGGCAATTCGGTTGTCCGAGTGAAGAGCAAAGGAACCTGATTCTTGAGAGCGGAGGAAGTAGGATTGCCACGTTCAGACTTGACAAGGGCCCAGGACACTACAAGCGCCAGGGTGGTGGCATCGAAATTCACAAGCCGGGATTGACTCAAGCCCAGATGTATGAGATTGTGGTGAGCGCCGTGGTAGAGCTTTCACGACGCAAGCTCATCGCATTGACAGCAATTGTATCGAGCGCCGCCGCATAGTGCTGGGTTAAATAAATCCACTGGTATATCAATTTGTATCACTCAGATCTTCAGTTCAAGGCCGTCAGTGTTTCCATTTGTGATACTTAGGGATACCCGTGAACGTGAAGACGGTTGGACCACAGTCTATGGCTGTTGATGTTCATGCCAGAGATGGAGACTGGTCTCACTATACACCATGGGTGAACAGGGCTTGTGGAAGTTATTGACCTCGCCCTTGACGCATGAGACACTGAGGCTGCTGAGAAGAGCAGTAGGAAGAAAGCAACCGACTTCTGGTAGGGCACACCCAAGAGGTCTGCATACCTCACATTCATTAATTAACGGCCTGAAATACGTCTGTATTTTTAGACGATTTCGAAGTCAATAATTTAGGGTGGTATGTCACATTCAGACCATAACCTATTATTAGAGGCTGCACTAGCGGAGTGCGCATTTACTTCTGCCTGAGCTACACTATTGGACAAGTAGCTTGCTATCTATGGTCCAAGATAATGGCGAGACTTGTAGCTTGGTGGTTGAACGAGGTAAAGGGTCTCAAGAGTTAGTATAGGCAATCCATATTAAATTTTAAGCAATACTTTCTTGCATACTGGTTAGCGAGCGAGGTGAAGTAGGTAATATGCCTATGAAAAAGGTCGCTTGCGTATATGATCTTAGGCAAAATAATATCACGCTGTAATACCGGTAATGCCTTTAATAGGTAGTCTCTTAGTTATTTAAAGAAGCTTCTTATATCGTTAAATATACCTTAAACCATCCAGACAGTCTCTTTTTCACATGATTCAAAGAAACCCAGTCCACCAGCGCCCTTGCACACCCAAGAGGCATACATGCCATACATTCGTCAATCAACAGCCTGAAATATGTCATTATTTTTAGACCGTTTCGAAGACGTAACCATCTAGGGTGGTGTGGTATGTCACGTTCAGGCCATAATTTATTATTAGTGGCCGCACTAGCGGAGTGCGCATTCTCTTTTGCCCGAACTGGGAATGCGAGATAACTAAGGAATGGCCCAACGCGCCACTTTTCACAAGACACGGCGACTGCTCGCAACCACCCAGAAATCTATTTTAGTTGCAGCCTTCATCTGCGTACGAACGAAAGAACTCGCCATAAGGGGCTGAGTCTGGCTAAGTGTCACACTGCTGGAAGAGGTAGCGTGCTACTTATTTTTGTCAAATTGATCCGAGAAGTCTATCATTAGACATGTGCTAATCATGGCTAGGAGCGAGGGGAAGTGATTACGTGGACATTCTAGGGTGAACATGTTCTAGACGTTCGTGATGAAATTTGGGCTACGCGAGGGTGTCTGACCGAGGCTGTCCCATGGGACACGGCTTTATAAGTACGAGCAGACCTCCCTGCAGGCCGATCGTACTACTTTAGCCAATGTATCCTCCCTTGGTCCCATAATGCACCGATTTTTTATTCTATCAAGTCTGCTCGGCCTTGGTAAGCAAGTCTCCTAGGCCATACATATTGTTGAATCTGATTAATGATTATAGGTCGAGTCCTGGCGTGTTCACCCGGCTGGTACGGTACTGCACCGTTTTGTGACGGAGAATGCCCCTCCGGCACCCACCAGCTAAGAACCGATAACTGTGGTGATGGGCATTGCTGCGTTACTGGACACAAAGTCTACTGCGAATGTATCGGTAACCCTGGTTGCGGTGCTTTCTGGTCCGGGACTGCGCCGTTTTGCGATCCGGAGCCGTGTCCGGCAGGATGGCACGAGGCAGGGAGAAGTGACTGGGGGGACGGTGGCTACTGCGTCACTGGAAAGAAGATTCTCTGTGAATGCAACGGCGGTGGAGGTCCACCATGTTCTCCAAAGCCAGCAGTTCCCAGCTGCAAAGGCATTTTCTTGATCTGCGATAATGGCTGCTCGACCTTTGTCTGCGGAGGGTGCTTCTTTGACTAGTACCAAGGCTCTGACAAGGGATGGTATTGCAGCTGCAGATGTTTCAGGGCTTTCATAAAAACTGAGTTACGTTCTCTATTTAGCCCTGACCTCGTTGAAAATAATACATGGTGAATTTAGTCTAAGCAAGTCGAAGGGAGATTCGGTGAACTGAACCAAACAGCATCTCAAAAAGAGAACCTGCCACATACCACTCTTTAGGAAAGCACCCCAGAGGAATTTCGCACGTAGGACGGCAGACTGTTACCACGGGTTGTCACTTAGAAGCCAGGAATTGAATCTAGCCCAGAGCAGCTATTAAACTACCGATCGACCTGGGATCCCTCTCGTAGTGAAACATGAGCTTAGTAGCGGCTTTCATATTGACCATAAGTTGAAAGTCGTGGACTTGAACTATTTATGGAAACATTCTGCTAATTTAGTTGGAAGTCCTGGATTCGTAGATGTATAGAAATCTTGCCCTAGTCTAAGTGAAAACCTCTAGACTTGGGCTATATATAGCAACGTTCCTCGTATACAAGTTGAGGGTCTAGCACTAGGACTAAATCTATTCATAGCAATCTTTCCTGAAATCTACGGTGACTAGCAGCACCTATATTTATTTCTGAATCCTATTGGCAGATATACTTGGGCTTGATGCTCAGCCACCTTCTCGGGGGGACGCGTGGCTCTCAAACACCACATCACGCCCGCTCGTTATCCTACAAATACTTGCATTGAAGTTTAAAGTTTGGACATGCCTATTCATAGCAGCCTTCGTCTAAATCTGAACGTGGGCAGCCACCGTACAGTCGTGGCGGCGACATCACGACCTGGCGCGCCAGCATAAATAGAATGAAAATACACGCAGGCGAGATATCTTTTCCTTTGCTTTGTTTCTCTGTTCTAAAACTCCTAGGTTGATATCCACCAGTCCGTTTGTCTGAGCAGATTCCTTCATAATCTCTACGGAGAAAGGTGTCACGGACAACGGAGTCAATTCAACCCAGTCGTCCAATAAGTCAGGTATTTACAACTGGCAAAAGCACCACTCCCCCATATAACTTTTAACCCCTACTATCAGTAACTGCGAATACCATCATGATCTCAACTTTGCGATGCGCTGTCGCTTGGGCTTTTGTCCTGATGGCTCTCGTAGGCTCTCCTTCAGAAGCCACATCAGACGGCACTCATGCATACCCTTCCATCGTTGCTCGAGATTCTAGGCCATGGCAAGCTAGACACAGAATGACTTCTTCCGACTTCCAAGACGTGTTCGACAAGCTGGTTCATGAAAAGTACCGTCTCACCTATGTGAGCGGCTACACTATCAACGATGATCCGCGTTTCGCAGCGATATGGGACCAAAATGTTACTTCGGATTGGGCAGCGAGACACGGCATGACTGGCGCTGAATACCAGGGTCAGTTCGATGCTTTCGCTAGCAGGGGCTTCCGGATCCGTCTCGTCAACGGATACACCGTCGCTGGAGACGCTCGGTATGCAGCCATATGGGACAAATCTGCGGGCCCAATGCCGATCGCTAGGCATGGCTTCAGCTCCTCTGAATACCAGAAGGCATTTGATACTTTTGTCTCACAGGGGTACCGACTGAAGCATGTCAGCGGCTACTCGCAAGGGAATCAGGCGCAATATGCGGCGTTGTGGGAGAAGTCGTGGAATAGCAGTGCATGGGTTGCACATCATGGCATGACGACGTCTGAGTATCAGACGTTGTTTGATAAGTATGTGGGTCAAGGCTTCCGTCTTGTTCATGTCAATGGCTATGTGGTCAACAATGTGGATTATTATGCTGCGGTTTGGGACAAATCGCCAAGTGGCCCTTGGGTTGCGAGACATCGGATGTCGTCGGACGACTACCAGAATGAGTTCAATAAATGGGTGGGTGGAGGATATCGGTTAATGCTGGTAAGTGGGTATACTTTGAACTCAGATCAAGATATGTATGCTGCACTTTGGATCAAAGAGTAGTAAGGTTTTGGATATTTTTTAGGTACTCAAGGCGCAGTATGCTCTCTAAACCGGAGACTTCAAGGAAATTGTCAACGAAATACAATTCGCGACGAAGAGTTGCCTCGCTGTCCGTGCAAATGTCGTATGTGCACCAAACGTGACGATTCATCGAAACCCACATGATTAGACGGAAAGGTAGCTTGATTGAAATGGTACATTCATTCGAAAAGAGTCAGTTCAATTCGATGACCAACCCGCCGCCAGGCCGGGCAGATTTTCACATTTTGAGGAGAATCAGGTGAGAAGTTCTTTCTAGGCTTGATCGTCCCTAAATTGTGAGGGAACGATCATGTGACTTTCATACTTTATGAATAAGGGATTTCCCGGTGATCTGCCGGATCTGGTGATTCGCCGGACTTACACCAACTTGCATTCCAGACATCAATCTATAATAGCTCCACAGCCGCAGTCCCAAATCTTCCAAAATTAAACACATAATGAAAATGCAACTATAAGATATGTCTCAGTCTATTTCGCAGTCATCAAGCCATCGTGGTCGCTTGCTATTCCGCTGCGGCCGCCCGGTACCCCGAAATGCGACTACCATCTCCCGATCACTCTCAACAGCTAGACAGGGTCTTTTCGGACGAGCGGTACGGATTGGAGTGGTCGCTGCCTTCCCTTTTCGGTTGTCTTTTGGTAGATCTAGGGCCTGTGATGCTACCGGCGGCTCTGGTATGAGTGGAAGAGCGACGATTATCTCGTCTCGAACGTCCGGACTCTTCTCGCGGCCTTCAGAAGCCACCCGTCGTTCATGTTGCATTTCATGTGCCATTTCCAGATTGCGACGCTTAAGTTCTTGTCGAATCTGTCGATTGGTCTCCTTCTCTTGCTGCCTGGCCTCCCTTACCTGCCGTTTTCTCTCTATTTCCGCCTCTCGTTGCCTCCTCTTCTCCAGAGCGAGAGCTTTTTGCTCCGCCGCCTTCTGCTGTCGCTGAGCCTTTTACGATTCCTTCTGCAGAACCTCCTCTTTCTTTTGGGCGTCCATCGCCGCTTTCTTTAGGCGGGCTTGAGCGACTTTTGCTGGGCTAAACACCTGAGCTGAATTTGGATCTGTACGATCAAAGAGCAGATCTTTCAGAGCTTTACCGCGCTGTCTGCGCTTCTTTTCTTGGCTAATTGTCTCGCGGAGTCCTTGATTCTCATATCGAAGCAGTTCAACCTCAGATTGCAGGCTTTCGAGGGTGTTCTTCAGCTTTCGGCTGTTGCGGTCAGCATCGATAGAGGATTTGTCGACTACTTTGTCAATAAGTCGGCGTAAATCTCGGGCCGTAGGTTGCTGAAGGGCTAGTGATTCTACCGAGTCGCTACCCGTATTCGAACCATCATCTTTTTTCTCAGTGATCTGCGATAGGACCACTTCTGGGTCAAAAGGCAGGAGACCAGTCCGTTTCCACCCACTCGCAATGTTCTCGGAAGAGAAGGAAGTCTCAAATGCGTTCCAAAATAAAGTCCAGAACTCACGTTTCGATAGGCCAATAAGGCCTTGTGTTTTTGCTGTCCACTGGATAAGCTGATTTGAATATGCGGTCGAAAGGGGGCTGAATAGCGACACGTCCAAGGGTTGCAGCCGATGCGTGGAATAGGGGGGAAACACCGCAACGATAATCCGGTGCTGGTCACACCACTCCAGAAAGTCCATATTAACATGGCTAGAGTGGCCGTCGGTAATAAGAAGGCGATAATCACGACCGTTTCGAGCTTTTGCCTTAGTAAAGCGATCGAAAACACCGACGAGCCACTCTTTTCCAAGCTCGTGATTTGTCCACCCCGTTTCTGAGGTGGTAAAGAAGGCTGATTGATGTTCTGGGTCAAATTCATTGAGCCAAGAGTCCTGGACTTGTCCTGGTTTGCCTTGATAGATGAGGAATGGGGGCAGCGATGTCATATCCTGGCTGATGCACGCCAGGAACGTAATCCAAGATCGATTACCATCTTGCGACGCACCGAGCAATTTGCCTTGCTTTTTGACGTTAATGGAAAATACTCTCTTCGTTCGATTGATCACACCCAAGAGAAATCCTTTCTCATCCGCGTTATACGTGTTGCAGGGTAGGATGTTATATTTCTCGATTTTTATGCGGATCTTCCACTGTCAGTTGTGAAAGGGAAGCTTCGTGCATTGGCTTACAAGCTCAAAATAAGCCCTATACCTAGAGGCATTATCGGCTCTCTTTCGCGCGATGTCCAACCCGTCGAACCATATACAACCTAACTCATCTCGATTGCGTCGAACGAAGCTGTACGGCCAGTCCTTTCCGACCTCGATTTTGGCGATATCCTGGGCGAAGTTCTTTATCATAGGTAAGGTAGGGGGAATTCCACGCGATGAAAGCTTATGAATATAAGCGATAAGATCCCGTTCTTGTTGTTTTAATAGATGTGACTTATACAAACTGTCGGCATCTCGTCTTGACCGCTGTTTGCCTTGATGTCGGCGTCGCAAGGTCGTCTCGTCGCAATTGAAACGCCGTGCAGTCTCAGCATAATTAACTGATTCCGACGATTTCAGGAAATCAAGGGCCTCATCAATCGGCGCCATGGTTGTTGAGTAATTGTCGATTGATGTCGAGTGTGCGAAGTGGCGGTGATCCGGCGGATCACCAGATCCGGCAGATCACCGGGAAATCCCTTACCATGCCCCACCACCCTTTCGCTAACACCACCCTTTCGCTAACCACATTGAGACCATCTACACCAAAAATCCGTTTTTTCAACCTTCACGGATTATAATCAATTTTAATGATATAAATATAAAAGAAATATCATTCGATAGAGAATTAAAACATTTATGTATTTTTAGGTCTTTTGATCAGCCGCCCTGATCGGGTGGTGCGCTGAGGACATTCAGTTTCCTCTCTGACTACAATAACCGAAGCAGCCTCCGCCTCTGAGACTGACTCCTCCGAAGAGTCAGATTCCACCACAACAGCGTTTGTTTCGCTTCCTTTTTCACCAATACCCTCAACGGCGGCTAGAGCTTCGCTCAGAGTCATGAAACGTCTATTGGGATTAGGAATTGCCTTCCTCTTCTTCCCTCTCTTCAAACGAGCCAATTCCTCCTCTAGGCTGGCAATTCTCACGGCATGCGCCGCCAGCGTCTGTTCCTGAGTCTCAAAGCCTTTGGTTATCACGGTATATCGCCTTTACGTCTTTGGTGTTTTGTTTAAGCCAAGATCACGAATATAACGACTGGTCCTTGGTGTATCATCAGAACCAAAATAAGGCGCCCGTTCTGGAGTAACCTTTGAACTGCCCGTTGCTTTGTCCTCCTGAATTTCTGGATGCCGCAGAGCTTTGGCTCGTGAGATTGGCCAATTTCCAGTAGTTCTCCAACCGGAGAGTATATTCTTCTCAGTCATTCCAACTTCACGAGCTTTGGCGTAGGCTCTAATAAAGTTGACTTAATCCACCGGCGTTAAGTCAGTTAGAGAGGCTAGTTTTTCCAGCTCTCGTCGATATGCAGCTTTGGAGGCATTGAAAACCCTATTATCTAACGGCTGGAGGCCATAAGAACAATAGGCATGGAGGTAGCAACAATAGACGTTGTTTAAAAAGCACGTGGTCATCCATTCATCCTTCTTTCTGTTAGTAGTGATTCCTGGTTAAATAAACAAACAACGCACCGTTGCATGACTCCCATGACCATCTAGGATGATTAATCTGGCATCTGACTCATCAGCAGGCTTAGTTTGAGGCAAATAGACTCTTTCAAGCCACTCAACACCAATGTGGTTATCTGTCCACCCGTTAGGTGAAGTTATATAGTGCCAATCAGCTATCTTCTTGAATTCCTTAAGGAACCACTGCTGTTGGAGTTCCTTTCCTTTAAATATAATGCTGGGAGTCAAACACGGCCGTCAGCGGTAATGGCCTCAATAAATGAAGTCCAACTTCGCGTCTGTGGTCCTTTGAGGAGAGCCTTCCGCTTTGGGTCTATGCTTCCAACCACCAGACTATCCAAGCCTGGCAAGAGAAGTTTGGTTAATTAGATTTCGAATGGAGAGGGAATAGGGAGGTAGAGGCTTGCCAAAACCGATCATAATACCGCCTTCATCGACATTAATAGTGTTCTCAGGCTTAATCCATCCATACTCCTTCTCCCTGATATCAAAGAACCAATGGACCGCCTTGGGCGTGAAAGAGTCGAATCTATTGGCTTCTTGACGTCTCCCAATTTTAGTTTTAAGCTCTGAGCGGCGTTGAATGAATCTGGCTACCCAATTGCGTCCCAATGTTGGTTGTTCGCTTTGTTGTTTCAACATGGCGAAGACACAGGCGCGAATTTGACTGTGAGACGGAGCATATCCCAAAGCCTCTTGACGAAAAGTCCAAAAGGCTAATTTGTCTTCCTGATGCTTGGATAGACGTTGTCCAGGTTGAATTTATTCGTTTACGGCCAACTGACCACTAAGTCTGTCGGAAAGAGTCCTTTGTGGCACTCCCCACTTCTGAGCTGATCGATACTGCGAAAGGCCGTTATCCGTGATATCCAATATAGCCTCAGCCATGTCGTCTTCTGTATATTTCCAGCGAGGCCATGATGAAGGCATTTTTATTGCGTTGTGAAAAACTCACATAAAAAGAAGTGGAAAGGAGCGGTGAGGAATTCAATGCCTGATTTGGTGACTTTGCAGTACAGGGATCTGCATACATCACGTGCCCTATGCAACCGCACGAGACTAGAAGAATAAACTCCATTCAATTCCCTATCTATACGAAGCGACCGCTTGCGAATAACTTATATTTTGGTTAAATCCCGTATAAGTGAAATAGTTGAGTTTTATATGGCGCGTGGCTATTTTTGGTTAGCGAAAGGGTGGTGGGGCATGGTAGTCTCACTTTATGAATATTGTGTAAATAGCTTTAAGTCAGAGCTTTCCTTAGGAATCTCTTTCTCTCCTTGTAAACAATCAGGCCCAAGTCGCACTCGACCTCGTTCGTGCTCTTGTCCCGTCACAGTGATCTCCTCGAGAGACTCGAGAGAAATGCCAGGAGGTCATCGAATATCGACAGGATCCAGGAACGTGACACACTTACCATTCTTGCCTGGTTCAACAAACACAATACAATCATTCCACGGCGAGGCCCAGAAGCCGTTGCATTCTTGTCATGTCTCTTTCCCGAACGCAGACCAGACAGGGTCTTCGGCCTGCAAGAACGACAACTGGAAGGGGTTATACAACGCGCACAGTGTATTGGATCATCCCGAATGAAGGATCTTCAGAGATGGAAAACCAGTGGCGGTTTAGACTTTGCGTCCTCTGTTGAGCGCATGATGGCTACAACAGACTGCGAATCCAGAGCCGGCCGAGAGGTAACTCTGGAAGAACTCGACGATGTCCTCGATCAGATTGCAGCCTTATCATCGTTCTCGTCCGCTAGCCTACTGGAAAGAGTTACAACGAAGCACGGCCGATCAACCCGTGCAGATGACCTGCTTTCGAAAGTATTCCGAGTACTGCAGAGCTCCGAGACCAAATGGATGATTCGCATTATATCAAAGAATTACAGCCCGGCCTACATTCCAGAGACGCCAGTAATGAGCATATTTCATTTTCTCCTGCCTGACCTCCTTCGCTTTCAAAATTCAATCCCAGCTGCTGTGGAGCTCCTAGACAGCCCAACTATCCGGCATATGCCCATCCAGCCAGCCGTGGATACTTGCGATGAGTTGAAAGCAGTTGCCAGTAGGGAACTCGAGCCGCAGGCTGAGATAATGACTGCGCGTGCGACCTATGAAAAAGCAAGGAGCATCAGGCATTGCTGCCAATTGGCTGGGTCGAGATGGATGAGCGTGGAGAGGAAGTACGATGGAGAATACTGTCAAATCTATATCGACCTGAACAAATCCGGAGCCGGCATCAAGATTTTCACCAAGAGTGGGAGAGACTCAACCAGCGACCGCGCGGGAATTCATCGGGTACTGCGGGACAGCCTTGAGCTTGACACAGCAGGCTGCAAAATTCAGAAGCGGTGCATCCTGGAGGGTGAGCTGCTGGTATGGAACGACGACGACGGGAGAATCGAGCCTTTCCACAAAATCCGCAGACATCTGAAACGATCGGGACGGTTTCTTGGAGCTGCTCGAGATTCGCCTGTCGAATCGAGCGAGCATCTCATGATCATGTTCTACGATATTCTATTACCGGACGACATTGTCTGCGGCTTAGAGACTCATTATGAACGGCGACGACTGCTTCAATCTCTGCTCCGCCGCATTCCGGGCCGGACCGACATCGGGTCCCGCGAAGTAATTGAATTCTCGTCTTTCGACGCAGCGGAACGGCTCAGTGAGACATTCGCTCGAGCAGTCACACAACGGTGGGAAGGATTTGTGCTCAAAGGTTGCGAGGACCCCTACTTCTCATTCAACGGAAGCAGGCCATTCATCAAGCTCAAGAAAGATTACATTCCAGGCCTTGGTGACACCGCAGACTTCGCCATTATTGGGGGATGCCGCGACGCGGGAGATGAGCATGAGCTCGGCATTGGTAGCCTATGGTGGACGTCATTCTATATCGGGTGCGTCGAAAATAAGCACGAGGTCTGCCGCTTTAATGCCAAGCCGAGATTTCGCATAATCGATACGGTCAACAGACATGGCATCTCGAAAGAAAACATCACGTACCTCAACCGCCATGGATACTTCACACGAGCGCCATTCGCCAAGTCTATGCCTGAGTTCGATGTCTCATTCGAGGCCACACGGAGGCTGCAGCCAGTGGAGCTATTCAAGCATCCGTTTATAGTAGAAGTGGTCGGTGCTGGCTTCGACAAGCCCGCGAATGTTGGGTACTTTGCTCTGCGATTTCCACGAGTGTTGAAGATTTATGAGGATCGCTCGTTCAGGGATACAATCAGCTTTGAGGAGCTACAGGAAATGGGCCAGAGATGCCTAGAGATACCGGATGATGGAGAACAGGAAGAGAAAAGTTGGTTTCGGAGACTGCGAGGCTACGAGCACCTGGTTGACAGATCGAGAACTAGCTCTCCCAGCGATGACGCAGTTTCTGTTGCAGATATTTGTGCAGGCAGGCAAAGCAACCGCCAAGAGGAGAAGTTGGGGACAGCTGTTGAGTCCCAGTGCCTTGATAATATTTCCCTCGGGGCATCAAAGCGGAAGATATCTCCAGAGGTTGCCTTGTCTGGTAACTCAACCGTCAAGCGAGCAAAGCAGGAGTAAACGAAAGAACGCCCTCAAAATGGCCGCCTCTGACTCTTTTCCTAACACTGAGAATTCGCAACCTGTTGTTTGAGTTGTTGTTTTCCGTTGCCGCTCTTTCAAAACAATGGGGTGGTTGTGACGACGATCACACATAAATGTGATCGTTTGCCTGCCGGTTTTCTCTTTGGTTGACCTTCCAGTTATGAATGCGTAGCCCCTAGTTGCTGCCCAGGCGTTGATCGCTTGGGATAGGGCGTCCCGTGAGTCATATTCGCCTTCAGGAGGAAGGCAGTCGTCAGGAAACGAAGTCAACTGTCGATTTTGAGTTGGATCCATGTCAGAACAATCGTGGACGGGATCGTCCAGTAAAGCGGCCAAGTTTCGTAGGTTTCAGTTGCTTTTAGTTGGCTTAGCAGATATGCAAACTGGTTATCTAGTTAAGTCACGCACGCAGTTGAGCGTGGCGCTGGGCGTGGGAAGTCAGACAGCGGAGGGGCTACACCCAAACTAGTAATTGGGACGGGCCCCGTCCAATTTTAGAGGGACGGGTACCCGTCCCCCTATTGATCGCCCCAACACGGGTCGGCATTCACCCGCCCGCTGGACATACAGTAGCTGCTGAGTCATAAAGCGGCTGCAACCGAGGAGGAAATTGAACTGAACTGAACTGGATGGCATCGGGATCTGTTGGGGGATGTGTGGGAGAGACGACGAGGCGTCAACCCACCAAGCACCGGCTTCGGAAGCAGTGCCATCGGGACAAGCATGGCTGGGCTTACATAATCATGAGTTTCCTTTATGGAATCGTTCGGTAGAAGCACCTTGTTCCTGCTTAAGCGATAGGGCCGTCCAATAACATAATGCAGAGCATAGCAGACGGAGGTGGACGTGGACTTGGGCCAGAAGTGCGAACGGCCTCGAGTAACTGTGTTCCAGCTATCTAGTCCAGGATGCTATTTACATCAAAGATAAGAAGAAAGAAATAAGTTCCTTTGTGCTGTCGAGCTGTGCAAAGTTTTCTCATCCTGGCACGCACGGGCCTTGTAGGTCTTGCGGCACAGCCGCAAGGATATGGGCCCTGGCCCGTTACAGCCTGTTTTAGATCCGCTTCTCCTATATAACATACTTCCCAGGGGGTAGGATTTTTTATATTTCTTTTTGGGTTATATTATATAATGATAAGTCTAACTCTAAAATGGTATTCATTTTAGTCTAGATTTGATAAAGTTATGATTTTTTGAAAATCGCGATTTCAGGTGGGAAATCGAGTGCAGCGCTCGCTTGTCTGCGGTTTTGAGTTTCGGCGCCCACTTCTCCAGCTGGTTTGGCGCCCTCACCGAGCGGCGCTCAACTTGCCGCCTCTCGAAATTGGCCCAACGCCTTGGTCAGATGGAGGAACAACAGAAATCTCCACCACAGTCGGAATCAGAAAAGCCCTCTACGGTGTACTGCCCCCCGTCATCTCCGACACCGATTTGTCCTATTCTGGCTGTTGTCTCTTATTCCAAGCCGTCGACGGTTAGACACAGTCAGCGAGGTGGTCGACCTATGGACCCATGGTCGGTTAGCGAGCTGTCATTCTTCAGGGGTATATTGGAGGTGCTGATATTACCCGTTCAATCACATCCTATCGCTATACCAACCACGGACCCAGCTACGGGCCCAACTCGCGCTTCTTCTACACACGCAACTCTAACAGCTCCTTGACATTGTCGCATAACGATTGGGGAATCATCAACAGGCATACTCCGTAAGCCCAACTGAAAGGATCGTACGACGACTGGTCCCACCGACTGCGTTCTCGGATAAGATGAGAAAAAGCCATCAGAGTATTATTACTCGCCCAAGGCGTCAGTCAATGCACCAAGTGACGCCGATATGATTACATATTGGCCAGGCTTATCACCCGTCGGGGTCTGGGAACTTGTTTCAGATCAATTGATGCAATAATCCCTAACTTTTCCACCTCCGGAAAGACCGTCGGTCGACGCACAAGAACACTCCCTAACGCCCGCCGTTGGGGCGGAAACGGTGAGAGACTGGAAGCCCCCTCTCGGAGGCTTTCTGAAGAGAGGTCAAAGCTGCAGCTTGAGCTCTCCGCGTGGCGCCCTGTATGGGACCTTCGATCCACACCCCGTGTAACCTATTCTCCAGCGTCTCGACTCTCACGGCCCACGACTTGCTCGATCAGGGGCCACCGTACTCCGTAATCACCAACATTTGCTGCTTGGGGATGCCACCGAGATTCAGGCGGACCGACCTGAAAGTTCAAGCTATTCTTTAGTTCAACCCAAAACCGGCGTAGCAAATCCGGCCCTCGTGACGCCTGCTCGGAAGATCCCCACGGAGTACCGCCATGTCAAATGGGATAATCCAACACCAAGTGACACCGTGCGGTTCAGGAGTGCATGGGCGCACCCCAAGCCCCAAAGTAAGAAGGACAGGTTGAGAAGTGCAAGTTCTTGTCGAGCCCAGCAGGAGAGCAGCCGTCATGCAGTCGAAAATACCCGAACCTAGCTCAGCCACAGCACAGCGGGCAGCTCTCGGGAATCACAATGTAGCGCTCATGGGGGCCTTTGGGGCATGACTGTTTTCGGTTTCCATCGGTGGAGGTCTTGCAGAAGTGAGTCCCGGGATCCACGCAGGATGTGTAAATGTAGTAGTTTTTGGTGAAGTCGCACATGGTTGCTGTTGTTGAAATCGACCAACGTGGATATGGGTATGGACTGGGGTTGACTTGTTAGACTGGGAATGGTGTTGTGGCTGGCCACTTTCCGGAAAGGGCAAGCTCACCAAATGCTTGGTTGGAGAGTGGAGCGAAGTGCGGCCTCGAGGATGTCTGCGAGCAGAGGCAGGGAGAAAAGGGCGGTGGATACGGGGGGATTGGGGATTTATGAAGAACGGAAAGGGAAGCTATTGAGACAGCATGCCTCGTGGTTGGAAGAGCTGAATGAAGAAATAAGACGGCCACGGACGAGGACTCGGCATAAGTGAAAGTGCCCTTGTGGTGTGGTCAGGGTAGCAGCGTGTATAAGAAGCAAATCTATGCCGTCGCGGGAAGTTGAAGAAAGAGGAGGGGTTTATACCAGAGACGAGAAGAAGTAGGATGGGCAGGCTACATCAGGGCATACGGGCACCTAAAAGCACGATGCGAAGGAAGGGGAGGGTGGGGTGCAATACGACGCGTGAGGCGTGAGGTGTGAGAGGAGGTGGTGTGGTGAAGGATGCATATCGGGGCCCTTAAGACACAAGTGCCCGAGATGAGACGCTGCGCTGCACTGCCGCTGGCTGCCGTGGGGTGAGCCATCGTCGCCCTGGCCCATGTCTGGGGAGCAATGACGCTGCTGCCATATGAGACCGGGATGAACGGCAGAGAAAACATTCTAGGCGATCCAGGGCATGGTCTGGAGGTACAGTACGGAGGCGCATATCAAAAGTCCTCGCTTGCGCTAAAACAGAAGGCTAGCTAATTAGGGAATAGTACTACCCAATTAGTATTGGGGCCTTCTCCGGCCTTCCTTATACTCGTTTCCACCCTCAAGATCAATTATTTCCTGCACATGACGAGGAATTCGCTCAATCCAAGCCTGAATAGCTTCCTGCTTAAGTTCCTTCCAAGCAGCTTCCCAAGCAGCAATAGCTTCCTTACGGGACTTAGGGGCCCCTTTTCTTGTAGTCCATCTCTTCATCCAGGGCCAACAGGGCTCTATTGCATTAAGGTCCGGCGAGTTGCCGCACCAAAGCAATCTTGTAATACCAGCTGCATCATATACTTGCTGCTGTGCATAATGACTATGTGCCGGCGCCTTATCTTCCTGTACGAGAGTTCCTGGCCGCTCAATAAGGCACTCAGCAGCAAAAGGCAGCAGCTTAGGTATCAGGATCTTAGTCTGATATAAATACCAGTCTATTCCGTGCCCAGCCCGTCGGATAAGCTTGCCGTTCTTCTGACTCCATCGCCACTGGGGCTTCTTGCCAGGAAGGTTGCGTAAGTTGAGGCGCCGCATGCCATTCTGAAGCTCCCACTGTTCCTTCATTATCGGCTCCAGCTCCGTATTTAATCTTGCAATCTCTCTCTCGGCAGCCATCTTCTCAGCATTAGTCTCCGGCGCCCAGCAGTGCATAGGGCCCTTGCGATCGTATGAGAAACAGCCCCAGAACATGAACTCAGAAGCCCCCTTCCATCTCTCACGAATGCAGCTGCGGATGAAGGCCTCGTCTTTAGTCCTCCATACACGGTATCCTCCGCGCCGATGGAGCAGAATAACAGAGGTCTCGTCAGACCAAATGACATTCTTCCAGTCCTCAGAGTCCAGTCCTTCCGCTGTAAACACCAATCAAGCCGATCCTGCCGCATCTTCTTCGTCAGACCAGGCTTCCTGGTCGGCTTGGTCTTCTTGAAGCCGGCACCCCGGAGGATCCGCCAGATAGTCATTGAAGAGATATTTATGCCTTCCAGACTGAGCTCCCCAGCAATATCAGTACAAGTCTTTTCCCTGCCGTAGCGATCACGGCGTACCTTACTCGCAACAGCCGCTTGGATCTCTATAGTCTGCTTTTTAGGTCGGCCGGATCGAGGTGCATCAGCAACGTGGGCATCTGTAATCTCAAGAGGTCTCTTGGCCGGGTCGAAGCCGCGCTTAATTGCTCGTGCATAGATATCATTGATCGTTCGTACCGGAAGCCCCGTAAAATAAGCAACTTCAGAAGTCTCTTTGCCAGCAGCTTTCAGTGTAACAACACACGCTCGAGCTGCAATATTAGGAGGCATTTTCGTTGAATTGAACAGGAAGAGTGGTATTGTCAGGCATTGGGAATTGACGCATACAAATTTGGTGCGGGGTGCCTTCTGGATGGACGCTAAAGCCCACTAGCGCCTTGGCAAGCGAGGACTTTTGATATGCGCCTCCGTAGGACCCACGGGGTTCGTCAGGTCCAACTGGTGGGGGTGCAAAATTAGGCCTCCTCGGCTCCTTCAACTCTCGAACGACTTGGGTCAAGCGCAAGCGCACAATTTCGTTCGGGAGCATGTTACGCGGGGCAGTCTACCCTATACACGCTAGATAGGGGCTACCGTGCAGGCCGCTATTTGTAATGGTGGGGCTGGTATCTCTTAACTCCACGGCTTAGGTTTCGCCACTGAGATAACATACTCTTCACCGTCTCTCATGTTGCAAATATTCTTGTTGGAACCAGTCAAAAAGCCCATTTAAAGCTATAAAATTAGGTTACCGTTGAACATATAGAAAGCGTGCCATTCTGGGCTCTTGTTAGGACGATGGCTTCGGTTGCAAGATACGTCCGGTACCGTAGATTATACAGTGCTGTACCATATCAGAGCTTCGCGATTTGCACACGGGGCGTCGGATCGCGTGGCGGTTTCTCAGCGCGTCAATTGTCCCTGCAGACGGCCTGGAAAGGCTGCGCTGTCGTGTCCGATAAAATGGAGGCGAAGGACGTTAGCCTCTGGGCGTCAAACTAGTAGATTTATTACGCCCGGGAGAACGGATCTCATAGGGCCATGGAATACGCTATGCTATTTACATTTCTGCCACCTTCAATCCTGACCACAAAGTAAAGCCCCACTTTCTCTCCCTGCATCGCTTTCTTTTGGCCTCGCTTGACTCTTTCTGACAGGCCTGCTTGAAGGCCATTTTCTCCAAGTGTTCAGCATCCTATCCTCAGCAGCTGAAGCGTGGTCTGTCAAAATGAGGCTGTGTTGTGTTAGTATTTTCTAGTTCTGGTTGTTAGTATGTTCAATTCTCCTCCCTTGGCCCTAGTCTTCCTGTCTCCATCGCGAATTTGATTGTTGCTCGCACCGCCTGTAGGTTAGGTGACCATCTCGGTCCGTCCAACGCCGACTTTCCTCCCAGAAAGAATGAGAGGTTTCCCATCTCGCTTTGTCCGATTCGCCGCATGCCTTCGCGTTGTGCATCCCACTTGCTGCAGCGAAAGAGAAAATGTTCCATCGTCTCGGTTGCCCGTCCGCAATCACACAAGTCTGATTCCACCGCGCCGATCCTCGACAGGTAGCTGTTGATCCTCGCCATTCCCGTGCGTAACTGTGAAAGCGTGTCTGCTTCGCGCCTCTTCAGTCCGTCGTATAGCACCTTTGTGTGTTTTCCTGGTAGCGCTTTGTCAACCCTCTTGGAGAAGCCGCCCACTCTGTCCGGTAGCGCCTGGTGCTGTTGTAGCTGTGCTCTCGCCAGTCTTGTCCGCGTCGATCGAGCTTGGTATGGCGGCGTCTCTGCCGTACGTCCTGCTTCGGTTGCTCTCTGCGCCTGTCTCTTCGCCTTGGGTCCCAAGGGGAACGCGTCGTCCCGGGACGGTACCCAGATCATTTTAACACTGTTGTTGCCTTTTCCCAGCCGTCGGATGTGGTTGTAGATTTCCCGGATGGCGCACTGTCCCGACTGTTGTCGCGGTCGCGCGATCGCCTTCAGAGCTGACTGGCCGCTTGACAGTATGGTAAGTCTTCGGTCCCGTAGTCCGTCAGGCATGCATCGCAATGCCATCGCTATCGCCCCCAACTCGGCCGTGTAGGGGTTCTGGTCGTCTCGAGAGCCGAGGGTGACCGAGTATCTGGCCACGACACTGTTCGCTTGCCCTGCTGCTCTGTGGCTGATGATGCCTCCCATCCCCACCATTCCTCCTTTGTCCGAAGTGCTGGTCGTGATGGTGATGTCTTCGGCACTATTGGCTGCCGC